AGTTGCCAAAATCCTGCCTTGAGATCAAACTTTGAGAAGACTTTTGCATTTGCTAGATTTGCGAACAAAGTTTTTCTGTCTGGAAGAGGAAACTTATCATCTGCAAGGAAAATGTTAAGAGGCTTGTAGTTGATTACCAATCTGAGTTTTCCACGAACTTGTTCTGAACGTTTGTTGACATAAAATGCTTCACACGCCTATGGAGAGAAGGTTGGTTCAATTAATCCTTGAGCCTGGAGAAGGGAACATTCTTGGATTGCTTGCTTGAAATGATCTGGGTTCATGCCTGAATGACTAGCTTTTGTAGGATTGGCATTTTCATCTTTCTTGAAGGGAAGGGAAATGAAAAATTCAGGGTTTTGCCAAAGTGGGAGATCACATTTCTGGAGGAAATTTGAGTGAGTTTCTGCACATGAAAAGTGAATGAACTTGTGTTTGAAATCTTGAAAAACATCTGGTTGAAGGGTAAGGGTAAAGAGGTTGGGAAGGTTTTTCCAAGGTCTGAAATAACTTTCAAACGTGATACCATTTCCACTAAGCTTTAAACCTGGTATACTGGTTATAATATCAAAACCAATAACAAGATCTTTCTGGGGAAGTGGAGATCCTAAAATCTTTTGAGTTATTCGACAGCTTGAAAGGATTTGAAGGGTAACAGGGTTGCTGATAAAGTCTGTAAAAAATACATTTTCATCAGCGGTTTTGAAGAAGGTTTTCTGTTTTGTCCAAAAGTGTTTGGGTAAGACAAGAGGGTTTGCTATGGTTTGGGCTGCACCAGTATCAAAGAAAGCTGTGACTGTTATAGGAGGGGAATGTTTGTGAGTGAAAATCTGAACTGGAGCTAGGGGTAATTTTGAAGGTTGAATGGTTTGGATTTTTTGGAGTTCTTGAACTGACATATACTCATAACATTGATCATCTGTGAAATCATCTGAGTATTCTGAGTAATCTGAATCTGCATACTCATCAGCATTAAACTACTTTATCATAAACAGGGATCTTTCATTCTGCTCATCATCAAGGGAGAAAATCGATTCAAGATCATCATCTGAGAGATTGATACCTGAGATATTGGCAATGTCTTGGATCATCTTGACTGACTTTTTGTCTGACTTTGGGCAGTTCTTTGAGAAATGTCCTGGTTTTCCACAGAGAAAACATTTTGAGCTTTTGATCGTTGGGTCTTTCTTTTTTCTTGCAAATTTGAATCTTTGAAATCTTCTGGGTTTGTCAGCATATCTGAAATATTTCTTGTGTCTGGGTCTGGAAATTTGTGGAGGTCTGGAAGGTCTGAATCTTCTGAAATGCTTCTTTTTCTTGTTGCTATAAAAACATATGGGATCTTTGGAGGAACATTTGATTTGTAAGCCTGAGGAGGAGTAAGAACAGGGTTTTTCAAGCTTTTTGGAGTTGTGCACCAAGGTTTTGATGTATTTGTGCTCTTTGCAAATCTTATCAAGAGCTTTTAGCATCATCTTGTAGATGTCTCCAAGGGTCATAGATTTGACATCAAGGGATCTGAGGTTCAACTGGGTTCTTGTTTGCTGGGCAAGTTCTTCTGGAATAGAATTAAGAAATGCTTGCTTTAAGTTGACATCATCGAATCCACCAAGTATGTAGAAATACTGGGAGAATTGTTGATAGTGTCTGTCAAGATCTTTTGGATGGAGAGAATAGCATTTGAGTCTGAAGAATTACTCTCTGATCTTTTCTAATCTGTGAGTTTCTTGTCCACAAAAGATTGCTGCAAATTGAGAGACAGCGTCTGTGATTGTTGGGCATTGAAGAAACTGGAGTTATCTGTATTCACCAATGTTGTCCCAAAAATTTTTCAGGGTTCCAACGAGTCTAGAAACAAATCTGATCAAGACTGTGTTCATCGTAACATTGGGATGAGAATTCAATTCAACAAGTCCCCATGCTAAGAATTCTTGAAATCTTGAGGGCCATTTTGAAGGAGGAACATCATCAATGGTAAAAACTGAGAATTTTGATGTTGAAGGAGGAGCATGTGATTGTTGTGGAGGAGGGTGTTGTTCAGCATCCATTGTATCAGGGTTATGGACTTCTGAAGTATCATCTGGAACTTCAACTGTTGGTTCTGTCATGAAAATCTGAGGGAGCATCATTTCATCTGAATCATCTATATCATCTGTTTCAACTAATTTTTCTGATTTGACAGTATCCATGTGAGATTCATTTTCAAAGGTAGAGGGAAAAATATCTTCAATAGAGAACTGAAGAAGGTTATCTTGTGCCATCTGGTGAAGTATTTCTGAAAGGGTTTGTGTAGGAGAAATCATGAGTTGTACAGATTTTTGGTTTGGTTGTGGTGTAGGGTTTTGAGGTGTGGAACTTGAGCTTGGGTGTGGTTTTGAAGGTTGAGAAAGTGGTTGTTCTGCTACTCTTTTGGGTTTTGGATCAACTGGTTATTTTTCTCTAAATCTGTGAATCCATTTTTCAGTTGTACCGAAATGAGGTTGGTCTGATTGTTCTGAAAGAGGAGTGAAGTATTGTGTTGGTTGTGAGGATGTGAGAATAGATGTTGGGGGAGGTTTGTACTGAAAAGGTGTGAAAAAAAGTTTTGAAGGTGAGGTTGGAGGATTGTATGGTTGAAATTGGGGAGGAGTATAGGCTTGGTAAGGAGTATCATGCATACCAGTATGATATGGTGTGAAGATGTTGTAACTCGAAGCTGCTTGTTGTTGTTGTTGTTTTTGACGAAACTGATTTTGAAGGTTCTGCAAGTTGAATCTTTAGGCTCTTCATTTCTTTCTCTCGTTCAGTGAAAGCATAGTGATACCAGTGTTGTTTTCAGCCATGTATCTGAGTTCTTGATCAAGTGTGATTATCCTTGACTGAATTTCAAGAATAATATTCTGGAGATTGACAAGACTCTGATCAAAGGTGTTGACTGACTTGGTCCAACTTATGTTCAATTCTGTGCAAGTAGGAATTTTGCTGAGAGAATTTTCAGTTTGCCAGTTTAAAACTGCTTCAGCACGAGAAACACTTTTTTGGTTTCCATATTTCATGGATGGGATTTTTGGAATGTGTTTGTATTGGTCTTATGAAATTCTTCAAAAGGAGGGAAGGTTGAGTTGGATAGGTTGGTTGCATCATGGAGATTTGGAAGGTAGGTAAAGGTTGGGAGGAATCTTGGGAGGAATCTGGTTTGTGTGTGGGTTGAGTTGAGTAGGTTTGAGAGGGTGGTTTGTCTTTCTTAGGATAGATGACATAGTAGTCAAACTTTCCTGAGGGTTCACCAAGGAGATCAACTTCAGGGTCTCCATTTTCATATCTTTCTTTGAGCTTTTGCTGAGAAGACTTTTTCTTCTTTTGCTTCTTTGGAATATCATCATCATCATCATCCAGGAAGCTTTTATCTGCATCGATCTGGCATTCTTTGCATTGACAATTTATGTCCCAATAGCAATGTCCTGTTGGAGATTTATATGCATACACGGGATTTCCATTGGACTGAAAGTGTGTGACTGGAACATCAAGGAGATCAGCATGGCATCTTTGCATCATAAATTGTGTTGGAAAGATTGTTGGAGGAGGAACATCCTTTCCTTTGCTGTGATCAAATTCAATTGTGACAGTACCATCCTGGTTTGTCTTGTAGGTTGGATCAAAGTGTTCAATTGGCTCATCTTGTTTCCAAATCTTTTGATAACTTGTCGTCCACGTCTTTGGGAGAAGGGTGGCAAGTTCTTCATTGGAAATCTGCTTTGGAATATGAACATGTTTGGGAGTTCTGTCTGCTGTTTCCATTTTAACAAAAACTGTATCACTGGAGTGTGAAAGAGGCAAGTTAATGGCATGATCTTGAACTCTGTATGCCATCTGGTAGTGAAGGGTTGCCTGGAGGCCTTTCATTTCTGTGCCTACGATCTGGACTTGAACTTTTAAAGCATCTAACAAGGTTGGATCATGAAGAGACATATTGTAATTTGGAAAGACTGTGAAGAAGACAGTTTCTGCATTGAGTGTCGTCTCGACGATTCCAAGGACTGCATGCTTGTAATCTTTAAATCTGGTGTCCAATAAGGCCATTCTGGTACAGACAGGAATTCCATTTCTACCATGGAAGGTTAAAGCGATTATGATAGCACCAAAGTGGATGTGAGTGTATCCTTGTTCTGACCACTGCTGAGGAAATTCTTCTGGGATTTGAAGAGTAACAAAGTGCTCTTGGGGTCCTGCTGGAAGAATACATTGATCAAAGTTTGTGGCTTGAACATATTCTTTTGGAGCTGGATATTTGGGTTTTAAAAGAGTTTTTAAAGATCTGGTAAGAGAAGGGGAGGAGTTTGAGAAAGCTGTATAAGGATTTACAAGGGGTAAGACTGTTTGTTGGGTTTTCTTTTCTTCTGGAATATAATCTACTTCATATAAGAACTTAAGCTTAGAAGAGGAGGACTTTTTAAGTACAGAAGAGGAAGGAGAGGATAGACTAAAAGAAGATCTAGAGGAAGAAGGTTGAGAACTAAAGTTGCTAAGAGTGGATAGATCCATGAAAGTAAGACTCTCTTTTGGCTTTTCCTTTTCCAATTTTCCAATAATCAAATCTTTAGAAACATACTTCTCTTCTCACTATTTTGGCAAGTTGTTAGGCCTGATACCATTTATACACATAGCTCTGATATCATTTATACACATAACTCTGATATCATTTATACACAGCGGTTATAAACAACAAAATAGTAAAATTTGCATGAAAATAAAAGAAAATAAAAAAAGAATTGAAAGTGTTTTAAAGTCTAGCTAGCGAAAGCAACAGCTTAGCTCTCTACTCCGTTATTTCTCATTTTTTGTAAGTTCTCTTCCTAACTTTTATGAATTAAATTCCGATTTGGATTTGTCCTTTGACTAACAAAAATACAAACAAAAATTAGTAAGTAAATTTTGTACAATTACTTCAAAAAAAAAAAACAATTATATATCCTAATATATATTAATTTAATAATAATAATAATCTCATAACGAAGGTTGAAGCCGAGAGGTAGACGTTGGATTAGAAAGGGAATGGAGCATGTGGGCTTCCTCATGTTCTCTTCTCATATAAAATAAAACGCCCCTCTTCGGTTTTCTTCATTTTTTAATTTGCTTTTTCTTATTTCTTTACCAATTCAAGATCAACCCAGACTGCTTTGCTTTCCAAAGAATTGGTTTTTGGTGTTTCTTATTACCTTTTACATATTTATATATACAGTTGTTGATTCTTTTCTTTCTTTTCAGAAGGTTTTTATTGTCAGGAGGACAATTTTCATCTCTTCAAAGGCTATTGCCTTTTGTTTTCTTTAGTGTAACTCGATGATTTGAGATTGGAATAAAAACAAAAACTGGTATGGATAGAGAGATATTGTTAATGGAAGAAGAGAAAGCCAGAAGCAAGTTCAAAAGGGTGTGTGTTTTCTGTGGGAGCAACTCTGGCCACAGAAAAGTCTTCAGCGATGCTGCTCTTGATTTGGGCAATGAATTGGTTTGCCTTTTTTTTTTTTTTTTTTAAATTTTAACACTATCTTTATACACATTAGTTTGAAAAAAGTTTTTGTTATTGGTCTCAAAAGATGAACTTTTTAATCGTTTAGTACTTATCTTGAGGTGGTGGTAGGTGGGTGTTTGTCTTTTGTTGGAAACTGGGGTGGTTGTTTTAGATTCTTTGAGTTTAAAGATTTCAACTATTTATCGGGTGTTAGTCTCTGGTTAGAAATATGAGATTTTTGCTGATTTTTTTTATTCTATGAGGATGGAGATGTACATTTGGTGTTTCATGTACTGAATTTGTGTTGATTTGTTTGGAGTCATGACACTGTTGACCATCAAGGTAGTTTGTGCTGACAAGCTATTGCTTGTTTTTTTACTATACGTGGGTAATAGCCAGGAGTTGAAAATTAGCTGTTTGATGCAAGCGAGTTATTTGGCAAAATGGGTCTTTTCTAGTTTCTTTAGTTTGACTTCTATATCTAAATTGTTTGCCTTTTTTTAATAATTTGTGAACTTCTGTGATTGGCGTTGATTACAGGTCAAGAGGAAGATAGACTTGGTGTATGGTGGGGGAAGTGTTGGGTTGATGGGTTTGATATCCCGGACAGTGTATGATGGAGGTTGTCATGTTCTCGGGTAATTAAGGAAATTTGCCTTGCCTTGGAGAGCCTATTTTTATTGCTTTTCTCTGCAAAACCTGTTACAAATTGCAAGCAGCATCCTTCTTGTTCACATTAGGTGTATTACTAAGTAAATAATTGTTCTTTGCATGCAGGATAATTCCAAAAGCTCTCATGCCTCTTGAGGTATCTATACTTGAAACCAATATAACTATTGTTTATTGAATATTGGGTCCAAGTGTCATGCTTAATACTATGATTTTAATTAGTCTTTCTTTGAGAATTCTTAATTTGAGGTTTTATTCTTTCCTGCATTTACCATTTAAAGGTTTTATACAGCTCTACCATTCACATCACAGAATTTGGTATATTACTAATGATTGATGTTGCTCATTGGCACAAGAGTTCTTATTATTAGGACAAATTTTGGTAAAAGAATGTGCTGGAATATCTTTAATGTCAATAGTTGCTTTCTTTAATTGCATGTATTTATCTCTAGGAAGTTGAAGATTTGAGATAGATTTCAGATAGATTTACCATTAGAGCATAATCCTGGATAATATTGACAGATATCAGGAGAAACAGTTGGAGAAGTGAGAACTGTTTCAGACATGCATGAGCGCAAAGCTGCAATGGCACGAGAAGCTGATGCCTTTGTTGCTCTCCCTGGTAAAATAACTTGACCTTTTGGTGAAAGAGTCTTGTCTTTTAATAATACAACTAGTTCTAACATTAAAATTTGATGTTTAGGTGGATACGGAACAATGGAAGAGTTGCTGGAAATGATAACATGGTCCCAACTTGGAATACATAACAAAACAGTAAGCCATCATTCTTCATGCTTGAAGAATTAAGCTAGCTATGTGATTCTATCAATATTGCCATGCGTTAATGCAGGTTGGTTTGCTAAATGTTGATGGTTACTACGATAATTTGCTTGCTTTATTTGACAACGGCGTTGAAGAGGGTTTCATCAAGCCCGGTGCAAGACATATCATCATCTCTGCTCCCACAGCCAAAGAACTTTTGGAGAAGATGGAGGTATGAACTTTACCTAACATTTTTTGGATTATAAGGTTAATTTATTGGCCTTATTTTGTCCTGGGGTGAGAAAATATTCACTTAAAGAAAGAAAATAGAGGAGAACATTTTCAAAACTTTCCGAGAAACACGTGGTGGAACTTTTGATCTGTGAATGATTGCAAGTCTGGCTCGGCAACCTTCTGTCCATAGTTATCCTTTCCTTTTTGTTTGTCTAATCATCTGTGTGTGCTTTCTCTGTATAATAGCGTTAGAAGGGAGGTTGCCTTGCCATCAGGTTTTTATGATTAAACTTCTAAATGGAGGCTCTTAGGCATTGGATTACAGTTATCTAAAAATTGTAGTAAATTTTGCAGCAATACACACCTTCTCATGAACATGTTGCTCCTCATGAAAGCTGGCAGATGGAGCAACTTGGTGATTATCCTGAGCAACTAAATGCGCAATGAAGCAAGCATTGGTGGTAGGTTTCCCACTGTTGATTCCTGATGTGATTCATCATCGAGTTATGCGCGACAATCTATTTGGATGGGCCACATATTTGTCGTTTACCATGTACTTTTATCACCATAAAAAGGGGATTTGATCTCATTAAAATCATCTTAGCTGTTTTACAAAAATGCACTGATTCATGGCCAACCAAGCTGCTATAGATCTTTAGTCATATGAGGTTGTTAAGTTCTACATATTGAAGATAAAAATACTTTGCAATGCAAAAGGATTATTGCATAATCTTTTAGGTTGCAAAAGGATTATTGCATAATCTTTTAGGTTGCATTGACTGGGTCCACTTAAGGTTATAAATGATATATCCGTATTTATAAATTATTTAAATTCAACTTAAATAAAATTAAAATTTGATTTGATTATTATCGAATCGAGTTCAAGTTTAAGTAATTCAACTTATCGAATGAGTGGAATTTAACCTTTTTAATGTCTGGTTCGAATAATTCGCGAGTTTAATTAAGTTTTTATATATATTTTTTATTTTAATCAAAAAATTACTATTTTACCTTTATATATATATATATATATATATATGAATTCAAGCTTGAGTTAGAGTTTAAATATAAATAATCGAACTTGAAATCAAGTATGAGAATTAAATTCATTTTTGATTTGATAAATGAGACTAATTAAGTAAGTTCAAGTAATTTAATTTTTTATTTTAAGTTTAATTTGAGCTTAAAATTTAAAATTTAATTAAATTCAAATTAAATTTCGAACAACAAACTTCTAATCAAGTTCAAAATTTTCATTCCATCGATTCAGTTGGCTTTGGTGGATAAGGTGCATGAGTTGGGGATATCTTATGAATTTAGCAGTAAAGTTAAAAGAATCCCAAGCAACGAAATCTGGCTTAACTTTAAAGACTGCCTGGGTATATTGGTGACAATTCTCGGTATTTAAAAGCAATCCAGCTTTTTAAGGCATTTCTTCAAGGAGAGGAAAACTAAAGTTAAAGTTAAAACCTCTTTAAATTTACAGAAGGGAATGGGGCATAGGATAAAGTTAACTTATCCATGCCTCGTAACAATATTTTGCTGCGAATATGACCGGTGGACCACAGGGTCTTGGCTCTTGGGTCATTCTAAAGGTCCATTCGGCTCTAAATTAAAATTTTAATATAATAAATTTATTTTAAATTTGAATATAATAATTTTTATATTTGATATCTTTTATGTAGTTACTATTTTAATTAATTATTTAATTATGAACATGTTTATTATAATAAAATTATTTAAAAATTTTAAATAAAAAATAAAAAATTAAAATTATAAAAAACCTAGTGCAATGTATAGTATATTTATACTAAGGATAAAAAAATATGAGTAATAGTGGAAAATATTACTGCCGTTCACATGCCTCAAATCTCCAGTACGAAAACGGGGGTTTGATGCTATGAAAGTAATCGCATTTGAATTTCACCATGGCTGTCTCGTGGCTTTTTGGTTGCTAATTGCAGGAGATGCAATAGCATCCAAACCAAGCCTAAATAGAGTGATTCCTAGAGGCTAGTGCCCAAGCAATCTTTCCCTTTCAGTTCCCACCTTTTACACTGCCATTTTCTAAATTTAAGGTGATATTTTGCTGATATTCATTCCCTCTGTGAGGCAACTTAAGGCAGGAACATTTGCTACTGTATAATCTTGACAGTGATAATTCTACAACGCGTTGAATGATATTCCAATGGGAACAATCCTTAGCTGGCAAGTGCCATCAAAACTAGTGAAAAAAATGCCTTCGAACAGTTTCAGTATCTTGTTTCTCTAAAAATTATCAGTTCCACAAGCATCTGAAATTTTTTACTTCTGGTATAGCAGGCTAGGATAATCCTTAGCAAAAGAAAACCTTGTCCAAAATATGGGGAACCATGGCTAATATGTCACTTTTTAGAGATAATATATGTAACTATTTTGGCAAGCTTGGCCTTACTTGAAGATGACTACTGCCTCTCACATGGATTTCTCAAGGGATAAGCTACCAAAGGGGTCCTAATGCCTGAGGGCATCTTCATAATTAATATGCTTATTGATTTCTGTTAGTATTATACTGCTACAGGACAACTTCTTTTGGGGGGGGGGGGGGGGGGGGGACCGAGTGGTACAGGTTTGCTGTGAACAGGCCAGCCTATTTCCATTGGTAGTCATGGCACTTCATTGAAAGGCGTGACCCATGACGGGCTGGTCTGATTCTCGATATTGGGTTATTGTTTGTCCTTGTGGAACATTCACATTCATCAGTGGTGGCTTGTGTACAAGCCATGGTGGGCCTTGGAGTCGCGTCGCGTCCTTTATGTCAAGAAAACAAGAGCGGTGAAAGTGGAGGTGGCTGTTGCTTGCCTCCGGGGTCCCTGTGAAAATGGTTTGCTGCAATAACCCAAAAGCCATCAACTGTTTACCAGACATACCATGAGTGATTGCAGAGGTATCCCACTATTTCTGCGATTGCAAGGACTTTAAGGTCCCTATGGCCCTACCCTTCTTCCTGACTGTTCATTCGGAAAGGACTTTGGGGACCCTCCTTTCAATTACACCTTTTTCAACACGAGAATCAGGTTTTGTTTTCCTATTCAGACATTGTCCCTTTTCATTATTGTCATCTCATTCTGACATCTGAGTTGATTGTTCCATAACATATTCCTTTCTTTTAATGAAAGGAAGGAAAGATATTTTAAGTTAGGAAAATGACACATTCACCTCCATTTGCTCTATTAAGTTATAACAAGCTTATAAGGATAAGTAGCAAAGTTCCCAACAAATATTGTGGGCTTCCTTTGATATCACACTTGAAGCCATCACAATTCATGGATTCCCAAAGGATTGCCCTTGTCAGTGCCAAGCAAAAAGCATATGAAATGCTTATAAATAAATACAGCAATAGGGGAAACAATGCTTTCCTTCTAATGTGGTAGTTTTTTTCTTTGGGAGGGGGGGATATCATACAGAATTTATTACAGGTCTAAGCACAAAACCATTTGTGATATACTAAATTAAGCTAAAGCTTGTGGTTGGGGAGGTGGGTAGGCAGGGAGGGGCCTCAATTCCAAACCGATGATGATGATTAGACCGGTAAATGCTGCTTTCGTTCATCACTCAAGTCAACAGAACAGGGTTTTCACTGTTCTTTCTATAGTGTAATGGTAGGTGAAATATAGAATAATCACCAATTGCGTGGGTGTGTATATGCTTTGCGCACAGTACGTCTTACGTTTTTTTCTCTGCCTCTGATGCCACCTGCACATGTTTTGGGATGATTTGATGGTTAACAGTTAGCAAAGAAAAAGAATTGCGATGATTGCTCGCTGTTTCCAGTCATCTAATCATAATCGTTCATCAACATGACACTGAGCCCCACAATAGACGACTAATGGTTACAATGAGCTGAGGGCAACAGAAAGCGAACAATGGAGAACCACTCCCTGAATCTGGCTCTGCACTCTTGGCGATCCTATAGCTGTTTAGGAGGTTGCATTCACGATTTTTCCAAGAAACAAAGGCGTTGGTAACTTGCATTCTGTATTAAGTTCATTTTCGAATAGTTGTCATTTACAAATTTCACAATTTATGATGTCAAACAACTCAGTGAAGGACTGATTTTAAAAATCTCATGCCCTCCAAAAAAACCAGTAACCAGATTGAATCTATGTACACCCCAAACGCATCAAGACCAAAATTTGATCAGAGATTGACTCTCACGTGTGCATATGCAGTGATCTTTTGTTTTCTTCATTTACGCCTTCTCCTTTGCTGGTGTTGGTATCAGATGATGCAATGTCGCTGCCTGGATAACAGCACTTGGACTAGGATTCTTGATTCAATGAGATCCTGATTGGCTGGGATAGAAATTCCAGTCCAGTCCACTCCACTTGGTATTAAATTCTGCAATGGCCATGGAAGGTGCCGCATCAGTCTTGTTGAACTCACAAGCAAAATCACACCCACCATGATAAATAACCTGCAATGGGACAATTTTCAGGTAAACTACAATGTCATGGCAAAAATGTTGAATTTGAGCGACAAGAATATGACGTCTTAGCAGATATAACAAATGATTGCACTTAAAAAGAATGGGCACATGTAAATGATCAAATGATGTTGAACAAAAGCAAAAGCAAAAGGCAGAATCTCATCCAAACCCTTTTTTTTTAATTTTATTTTAAAAGGAGGAATGTGGTAGACAAGGTTGCTAAACTGGATAATATCAATCAGAGGAGCTTTTCCATGCATGAAGTCGCCTATGGCATGCAACTAGTGGCAAGTCACATGAGAGAAAATGTTCAGAAGCCACACATTGCGAAATTTTGCAATATATGTTATTCTTGTGCAATGGCTAATGAGTGAAAAAATTAGGTTGTGCACTATATACCATCCACGCAGATGTGAAAGACGAGCAACTGATGCTGAAGGCAACTGTTCACCCAATGCGAGCATACCAGCAATTACACCAGTCACAATTGATGCCACAGCAGCACATATGGAGATCACAATTGCTCTACCATGCTTAAGGCCGCGAGTCTGCACAAAGGTGTAAAAAGATTATGTTATAATTATTCAAGAGGCTCAAAAATGCAGCAATGAAAACAGTAACACATTAGTCGACCCTGTTGAAGAAATTCCCTGACAATGAACCTTTGCTTCCACTAAATTAGAACATAAGTGGATCATGTTAAACATGAAATCAGAACATAAGTGGACCATGTTATGAATTCCCTGAATCACACACATGGACATGAACTTGTTACGTGGGACAAACGTTCTGATTGGCCAAAAAGGGCTAAATAGCCTAATGCATGGATATCAACATGCTCAGATGTCAACATGAACCACGTAGGTGCAGAGATACCGGGTAGTAAAATCCAGTACCACTACAACATATGCTGATTGAGACGCATAGAGGAATCAATATTTTTGAGAAGCCCTGTTCCACGAAGATAAATCCCATCTTCAATGTCACTGATGCCATCCTGCAAAGAGATGAGACTCTATTCAAGGTGAACATCTAGAACCGCAATAACATTACAGTTTTGATGCAGGCACATATCAACGCTACATAAATTTTGTATTAAACATGTAAAATCTCCATTATGGGATAAATTATAAACCATGAAGGGCTGGAATATAATGTACAAGAAAAGCAGTTCAGGTGTAAAAGAGTACCCAAATAAAATTCCTGATTCCAAGCCATATATAATTTCTTCAACAACTTCATACTCCATCTGCACGAGAAAAATTGTTAACAAGTGCACAGTGGGGGGGGGGGGAGAATCAAAATTTTATGTAAGTGACTACAATAATGGAGTTAAAGGAACAGAAATCTTTAAATTGAGAAAGAGAGAGTTTACCAGTTCTTGTTCTCTTTGTTGACGCTTGCAGATGCGAAGCCACCCATTTAGGAGTACCTGTATAACCATATATAGAGTATCAAAGCATTATCACAGAATGGATTACCCCAACAATGATCAAGGGAACAATGAAATATAGCATGAGCATGATTATACAGAAGTTTGTAAAACAGAAGATATGAATCTGAGACATCCAAAACTATGGTTGGCCCTTTCAAGTTCAATGGCTAACATCAGCAACAGGTCCTTGGTTTTTTTCATAGTGACTCACTTCGACTAAACTTTAAATTTTCTAATATTTTAAATTCAACAAAAATAGCTTTTATACTGAATGTACAAAAAAAAAAAATCAATCATCGATAATAGCCATCATCTTGCCACTTAAATCTTGCAACTTGGAGGAGGGAGACACCAGCAACAAATTAATCACACTTGGGGTCAAATGTTTAAACTACAAAACCAATTTTGTTCTCTGCGGGCTGGGATTTAAGACTTTGTTTAGAATTTATTGATTGGTCATGTCCTTCAGATAACTTCTAGAAGTTCCCTGTAAATTAACACTTTTTTTGGCATAATGCATCTAAGCTTTGTATCTCTTAAAGTGATGAAATGCTCCATTGAACTTGAGAATTTATTATGAGTTTCAAGTTTGCAAGAAAAGGGTTTAATTATGAACTAGACTTCGCCTCTCAGAATCCTACAACATATTTCTGATGATAAAAACATAAAATATTAATATAAAAACAATACTACTAGATAAAAGTACAGGAAAAAGGTACCTACAAACACGATCACGACAATGAATGCCAACCATGGTAACTGTAAGATAGATACTGAAGAAGTTTCTTGCTCCTCTCCACCAGCACCAACTCCTGAATGTGCAAAAATCAAAATAAGACTATTACTTTATAAAGGTCAATGATATTCTATTGGGCCATCATACGGCAAAACTGGATGAATCTGCTTATTGCAAAAACATAACCATCAGGAGAGGATGCAATTTAAAGAATTAATGAGAACCTTAAATCATTGAGAAAATACAATATGAAGATGCCAAATGAGGAAGGTTTTAAATAAATAACCTTATGCTTTTAAATTAAAATGAGAACTATCATGTCAAAATCCTGACTGTACTCTCTTTGTAATTGTAGCTATATGGTTGATTCCACAGGGCGTAATCAAATATGAAAACCATGAAAAACTTGCATTACCTATGGCGCCAATGCCAGCTAGTGTAATTCCCATCCAGTCGATAACATCCATAACTTCTTGTAGATAGAAGTGCGAAAAGATGGAAAGAATGGTAAGCCCGCAGCCAGAAACTGGTTGAATGACAGATACCTGAGCAATATGTTTGTCATCACCAAGATAATTAATACACAAAATTTACACTATAAATCATCAAATATAATATCCAATCAATGTGCAACCACACTTTGGCCATTACGTAGTTAAAGTAGTAATCTTTTATATCAATGAAGTTATAGAAGAACATCAATTCGGTTCATTGCAGAAGCAAAGAAATTATTAACATTAACTCACCGAAGCCAGAGATAACGCTCTCAACATCAACAACGCGCCACATATATCCATCAGAAATCCTATCACCCATGATTTATCAACAGCATATGCTCTTATCACCTACATAAAAGCATGTACAATCGGTCAACACTTGAAACAAATTCAATTCATTATTCTTCAATCTTCTAAAAATAACATCTTGGACAATGTCTATTAACAGTAAAAGGAATCCCATTCCAGACTGATCTCAAGCTGCAATTGCTAAGGCTGAAAACAACGAAAAGCCTATACAAAATAATACACTTTTGAAAATCAATGTCCCAAAAGTTCCACAAATTGAAAAATTCCAGATCAAAACCAATTCTACAGTGGCTTTAAAAAGTTTCATAACCATATGAATCATTTAATAACATTAAAAAGAGAGATACCCAGAAACAGAAAACAAAAGACCCACAAAAGAAAATGGTGAATGAAAAGGAGGGAATTGCCTTGAGCTTGAAGGAGAGAGGAGGGAGAATAACAGTGCCCTTCTTTTGTAGAATTTTGCCTATGTTATTTCCCGCCGTGGCTGCCAACGTTAAACAGATCGATTCCCACATTTCTTTTTCCTGTCTATCTCTCTGAAATCAATCAAATAAAAAAAAAGTAAAAATATCTCTTTTCTCTCTCTTTCAGGTGGGTTTTTACCTAAAAACAAGAATTTATGAATGGCTGAGCCACTGCCACTCTCCCGCTCTCTTTTGCTGTCGTTTATTAGTTCCATGGCAGGTTCCCACGTGCGATTTGTTGGGAAACACTCAGTCAAGATTGGTAGGAACAGAAACTTTGTATGGCAATATCACTTTTTCTTTTTAACTGATTATCATTACAGACAAAGTGATCAACAGGCAATAAAGAGAAGACGAGATGAGGGAGGCTACAAGGAGGTGCAACTTGCAAGAACATGACAGAAGTCGTTCTGTTGATTCGAAAGGTGATGACACGTTCTTTTGATTTGGTGAGATCCTGGAATAATTATAAGAATCTGCCCTTTTAGTTTTTGTCCTAAGTTTATAGTCAACAACATATCTGAGTCGTACCCAAAAAATAGTATCTCTAATAATTCATTAAATCGTGAATTGCAGCAATGAAATATAGCAGGAAATTTTTTTTGGGTGATCAAAGTTTAGGTTGATGGAAGGTCATTTAACAGGAAAATTTGATTAAGCTGATTTGATATAAAAGTCAGGGTTGATTAAGGCCACAAATTGGCAAATTCTTTATTATCATCAACTTAATTTTAATTTTACTGTTTGAGAAATGGGTGAAGCATTTGCTGACCTAACTGCCCAGCAGCTAATTGGGAAGAATTGCCAGCAACGCAGCAAGAGGCTGGGAAATGGAACAGAAGAATTGCCACCCAATGAGCCATGAGGAATGGGGCTATCACTCTCAAGTTGGAAATGGTCTCGACTATCTGTTACCAATGAAAGCCAGAAAGTGATGAAACCTTGCCCTGTTGGTTCTTGCCTTTCATCTTTTCGGCTGAGCTTCTGTAGATTGAAGGCCCTTGTTAGTTGTTAGTAGTATCTTGTGAAGCTTCCAAGAAAGTAACCTCAGCAGCTTGGAGACTGACAGAAAAACGTGCTGTGATACTTCTGCCAAATCAGGAAAAACCGATGCCCTTTGTTTCTTTCCTATCAGTGCCTGGTTGATGCTCAATTTCTTTATCAGAACTTAAAAATGAAAACTATACCATGTTTCTATACATTTAAACTATTCTGATTACTCAACTAATAACTATCTCCTTTTAATACATGTATTGTTTCCTTTACAATTCTTGATTGCTGCAATAATTAGTTAAATGGAATATGGAAAGTTTATGAAGTTGGTAAGAAAATGACTCGTATTATTCAAACATGGAACAGGTCAGCATGAACAACAGATTAGACGTCAGGGCGGAACAGCAGTGGTTCAAACGTTATCGCATTCGATAATGCCAATTGCCAATGCTTAATGTACTAATGTCGAATAATTACAATCTGCATGATTGACGCCAATGCCTAAAACAAGATTATGAGAGAGAAGAAAAGAGAGGATCTTGATTGGCTGAAGCAATTATCTTTCACAGCTGAGAAAGTAACTAACATGGTTGCACCGACGATTCAGCAGAAGACACAATGTTTTCTTTTTTTATATAATTGAAAAATATTACATTATCAAAAGAACAACTTTCAGCAAAGACTGTGGATCAGTTTCCTGATGACTTCACCATAACTACAGCAAAAAAACTAATGGAAAGGGCATTCCAGCATGTCATACTCACTCCTTCCATTGTGATTTTCAACTCAATGGCAGTAGAAAGTAAAAACGGCCCTCATTTCTGCAAAGGTAGCTCATTTCCAATTTTGCCATTTTGTGCTGTTAATGGCTTCAGAATGACTAAGCTAAATCGAAGTAATATGGCAAGTGGCAGAGGAAAGTAGAGAAAGCTGAAGATGAATACAAGTTTAAAAAAGAGAAGAGATCAGAAAACAAGCACAGTCATATGACTTGGGATATGGCTTTGAATTATATGCTAATGTTAATTCTGTAAATCCATATGACTAGTCTATGAAGCAATTTATACAAAGACATTTTGGTGGGTCACCGTTAATCAACTTAAAAACCACCAAGAGTCCCAGACAAACAAGAAACTCTAATGCATGACAGAGAACACCTAAAAGTTTCAAAATGATCAAATAAGGCTCGAGAACAATCAAGCATCAAATGCTTACTCTTAAGCCAATACTGATGACAAAAGTTCCTTGAACAACAGCTGAGGAAGAAGCCTATGCTCGAAGCAACTCAAAAAACCTCCCTTCCCCAGTGAATAAAGGCAGTTCTTATTGTCAATTAACAACTTTAATCTAAAGTTTTGTAACCAAGCTGGTGAAATAATCAATATTGGATATATAGAATAAGACTATAAGAAAAAGCTCGAAATCATGTGGTCAAAGCCTCATGATCATAAGACCACCAATTTTTTTTTTTGGCCAGAAAAGACCTCCAAGAATTTGAAAGGAATTAACATGTAAATATATTCCCAGAAAACCTTGAATACAAGCAAGAGAAAATATAAAGAAAAAAGCAACAAGAAACAAAAGACCAACTGCCAGAATCACCACCACCCATAGACAACTTGTGTGTATTTATCTTTAAGCCACCTAAAGCTCCTCCTCAAGGACCCTTTGACCTTACCTTCCACACTATACATCTTGTACCCAGCAACCCTTTTCTTTCTCTGGAACTCAGGGTCAGCAAAGCTCCATGACTTCGAAGAAGATGAGCCAGAAGTACTCTTCCCTTTCTTCAACTTGAAGTTCCTGTTGTTTCTTGTGTTATAGTTGTTAGCCATCTGGGACTGCGCATAGGAAGCACTATAGCACCTGAGATCATAAGAAGCTGAAGGCATAGGTGGTCCATGATAGATGTCCGGCTGCATCATCCCATTACCATATGATCTTGATCTGTTGTAGTCTTCCATTGAATTTTGGCAGACTCAAAGAGAGAATCCTGAAGGTGGTGCTGGCCTTTTTTTTTTTGGGGGGGGGGGGGGGGGGTTTGTTTTGGTAGTTGAGTTCCTCTGATCTGGACAGATAAGGGAAGGAACAAGAGTAGTAGAAACTTTGGATCACTTTAAGTAATTTTTTATTTTTATTTCAAAATTTCCTGCCTTGTGACTGACTTTGGGAGTCACGGGAATTGACTTTGGGAATGTTGCCCAATGTATACGGTAATTATTAATGTTCTCCCTGGTACAATACATTTTGCATTGAGCAGTCATACTTCGATGATCAATGATCTTGCCATGTGTTTTGGAAGTGCAGTACATTTATATGCTGCCCTGCACTAAAAGTTATTGTTAAACTGTGCCCTTTATTCAACTCTTTTTGTCTCTCTCGTCAGCAACTAAGAACAGATCACCTGATCAGAACCACAATTAACAAAAATCACTTCCAACAACCCGAAACCAAAAGCCAAACCTGTTTTTGTTTTACTTTGTGTCGATTGTTTCACTAACCAAAACCAGCTTGGCTTTAAAAAGAACTTCTTTACTCGTTGAAAACTTTGACATGAGAAGTCTACCCATAACTCATTTTCAGTATCATTTTCTGATATTAAATGCTACTTTGTTATAGAATACCCAAACCAACGGTTAAGCAAAGGCATGCCCTGCACTAATTGTCAAAGTCAGCCTTTTTATTGTAACCACATTAAATGGGCAAAAAGCTCAGAAGTCAATTGGCCATACAGCCCTGGCGTCTACCAGAAGTCCTAAACGCATGACCAAGAAATAGTCCAGCCATATCTTAAGCACTCGTTTAGACTCTGATAAGTTTTCCTACAAAATATCGAATCACCTCAAACAGAAAGGTCACATCATCTTATCCTAGCTGTGAAGCACCTCTGAAAAGAGAATAAGCAGATGCCACAGATCAAGTTCACACTTCACGTACTAGCATGTTTCAAAAAAAAAAAACTCTAACTGATTTTGAGACTAGGGCAGCCGAACAGCCCCACCTACACAGAATTTGTCATTTAGTCTTTGCCACGGCAGAGATCAGCGCAAGTTCCATAACAGAAAGAATGCTAAATAAGAACGGTTCAGCCTGGATCAACAAAACCTTGTACAACTACTAACAGGTTACATTCATGGACTACTGTCGCTCCCTTCTTGATCAGACCAAAACTCTCAAAATCATGCCAATTACATAGAGAGAGAGGGGGCAAGAATAACTTATCAAAATGTCAACAAAAAGGCAAATCCAATGTTCTAAAACAATCATGTTTCCACTCTACATGATATCCTCTCAAATACAGAAACTACAGGTGAATAAAAAAGAGCAGAAAACAAGATGATATAAAATAAAACAAGAAATATTAGGTACATTTCTTACTTGGACACACACCAAATCAATATTTGAACATCAGATTTCTAAATGGTAATGGGAACCCATCTAAATGTGCAGGTACAAAAACCCCTACCAGCTGCAAGGGCATCAAATAAGATCAGCAACATTTGATGGCAGCTCCTCAACTACAACATTATAAAACTTCTGGATGTCATATAACATCCTCTCATCATCATTGGTCACAAAGTTGATGGCAACACCTTTCCTCCCAAATCTTCCACTACGACCAATTCGATGAAGGTAGTTCTCTGGTTGTGTTGGAAGATCATAATTGATCACAAGAGAGACTTGCTGAACATCAATACCGCGAGCCAAGAGATCAGTAGTGATAAGCACACGAGAAGATCCAGATCGGAATTCCCGCATGATGATATCCCTTGTATTTTGGTCCATATCTCCATGGGTAGCAGACACTGTATGGTCACGACTCCGCATCTTGTCCGTAAGCCAATCTACTTTACGCCTAGTGTTCACAAAAATGACACTTTGGGTGATTGCTAAAGTCTCATAGAGATCACAAAGTGTCTCAAGCTTCCATTCCTCCTTATCAACATTGACATAAAATTGCTTGATACCTTCAAGGGTAAGCTCATCACGTTTCACCAGAATCCTCACAGGTTTGTTCATAAACTTCCTTGTGATCTCAAGGGCTTCAGGAGGCATTGTAGCAGAGAACACCCCTACCTGAATATTTGGTGGCAGTAACTGGAAAATATCATAGATCTGGAAGATACGAATAACAGAAGTCAACAAAACAACATACCCAAAGACACAGAATCACAGCAAAAGCTTGAAAAATACCAATCAAGAATTTTTCACAATTCCTAACTATTAGAATGCTGATAGGTAAAATGTTTTCTCTAAAGCATAAACATGTAAGAACCTGCTTAAATGTTCATTATATCCAATAATTAGCTTTACAACCAAAGCCATCATCTTCTAGTCAAAGAACAAGCAATAATTCATACAACTTATAAGTGAAAAAAGAACCTGATCCTTGAAACCTCGCGAGAGCATTTCATCTGCTTCATCCAACACAAACATCTTTATTTGATCAGGACGGAGAGATTGTCTCCTCAACATGTCAAACACACGGCCAGGTGTACCAACAACCACATGAACCCCACTGGAGAGAATCCGTTGATCTTCACGGACACTGGTCCCACCCACACAAGCATGAACCTTAACACCAAGGTAATCACCTAATGCCCGCATGACCTTCTCAATTTGTTGTGCTAATTCTCGAGTTGGTGCAAGGACCAATGCTTGACACTGAACTAAATTGTAGTCAAGCTGCTGTAAAATTCCAGAGCAAAAAGTTGCTGTTTTTCCTGTTCCAGACTGTGCTTGTTGAATTACATCAAGTCCCTTGCAGAATGGTACAATCCCCCTTTGCTGAATTGCAGATGGCTTCTCAAAACCTTCACAGAAAATTTTGAAATAGCAATCAGCTTTCTGACTAGCCATGTAAAGGAGTAAATACTTGAGCAATACAAAGAAATGAAGCTGTCCTTAGAACTTGACCGTTCACATTTTCACCATGGCAAATCACAGGGTCTTAACTGAACATACAGATAAGATAAAACCTACATTGGTAACAAGAAAATAGAATTTGAATCACCAGTAAAGCCCGATAAGTTTTAACAGTGCTACCGCACACAGCAAAACATCAGAGTATCACACTCTGCCCCCTTCGAAGCTTTAGACTAACAAAGTAGTAGCAATGGATCCAACTTACCATAAGCATAAATGCCCCTAAGAAGATTCTCTTGCAATCCCATAGCATCAAAACTGTCATGAACCTCATCATATGAGGTAAAGAAATCTTTACCATCAGCTTCAAGTCTGCTCATATCAATTTACAAAATCAAGCCTTAGAATTCCTTTCATTAAAATTTGAAGCTTAGCAAACTAAAATTGCACCAGCTAGATGATCATACAAATCATGAACATAACAAACTTCATGTTACCGCCAATGAATTTGAACGCTTAAATACCTTGAGATAATACAAGGAAATAAAAAATAATAAAAAAAAGAAAACTTACTCGTTCATTTTAGTATCATACTGGCGAGCATCAAATTGAGATCCCTCTGGCGCTGCAGCAGCCATGACTGCGAAGAGCAACCCATATTTAAATAACTCACACACAATTACAAATTTCATGTCTTATTTAATGTGGCAGTCTTGCCAGCAAGATCCAAGCACCGGGCTAAATACAGTTGAGCTTAGTCTTAATCAGAAAAATTCACCAACGCACCACATTAACTTCACCTATCTTCTATCTGTTCATGGTGCTAAATGCTTAAACCTAGATACTAGATGTGAAGAATAACGGGGAGAATCACAAATATACAAGTAGCAAAACCAATTTAAATATTTGAAGAATATGTTGATGAATTAGCTGCAATAATTCAGTTAAGAAGAACCGCCTAAGTACCGAACTAAAGATCTGTCAGATTAAAGTAAAACCCATGTCCAAAACAACAAACGCAAGTTAATACCCATTGTTACATGCTGATTCTTCAAGCAAAAATGATACCAAAATAAAAGGAGAGCAAACTTATAATACAAAGCAAATACTGTCAACAAAAAAAAAAAAAAAACCCTGCGGTAGAGAAAGGACAAAAAAGAAAAAGAAACTACCTTATAATGAAGATGATTGAAAGAGCTCAGCTGGGGGTGACTTTTTAGGGTTAGGGATTTGGGCCAAACTCCTCTGATCTCTCTGTCTCTAAGTGTAAGGAAAGGGGAAGAAAGTAGATGGATAGAGACCTGGGGCACTCAGGAGGACATAAAGAAAGCCGCGGTTGGCGAAGCCCAGTGACTTTATTCGTTATTTCTCGTGTAAAATATTAAAAGTTATATAATTTATATTAAATTTAATAATTTATATAATATAAAATATAAAAAATATATTTTTAATATAAAAATTATATCTTATAATTTATATTAATTAGAAAATATAAATATTTTTTAATTTGATTAAATTAATATAAAATTATTATCAAAATTTTAAATTGTATCATTTTTATTTTTATTTTTGTATTATATTTATTTTATATTTTTTATATTATATTTTAAATTATTAAATATAATTCATATCATATTTTATAATATAAAACATATAATATATATATTTAATTTTATTAAAGTTTTAAATAGGGTATATTTTTCGTATTTTAGATTAAGGGCTACATTATTTTTTATTTTTACGATTTTACCCCTTTAGTTTTTTTTTTTGTAAGAAATGAGGGAGCAAGGAAATTACGTGGCGTAATCTCAACGGTCAATAAAAATTCAACCTTTTTACAACCGACTCCAGTGAAAGAAAACCTCCATGGAAGTTTCGATTCTTCACCAACTCCCGGCTTCTACACATTCAAAACTGCTGTTCCTGTCCAAACACAACCGTTCTTCAGTTCCGGTTAGAGTATTCTCCGAAACCTCTAACCTCAAGATTTTCAGTTTCATGTTTCGGTTCAACTTCGGAGAAAACGACAACAGAACCAAACCGGTGATCTTCGATTCTCTGGTTCTTTTTTTTTTCCCTCCCTTTACTTTGTTGTCTTCTCCAACTTTTTTTTCATTATCTCTCTGATAATTGTTTTTTCAAGCTATGGCTGGACTTGAACCTGATGGATCACACTATGATCAATACGACAGCATAATGAATGAATTGTAAGTCTTACAATCGCCCCAAATTTTTATGAGATTAACATGTGTAAGTTCTTAGTACTGCCAGATTCTGACTTCTATTGGCTCATGAATCATAATTATAGGCTTTCTGATGATGGAAGCGAGATCTTTACTACTTATGATTAGGTCCATAAGAGTTTTGATAAGACGGGTTTGAAAGAAAACCTGCTGAGATGCATCTATGCTCATGGTAATCTTCTTTCTTTTCAAATCATTTGGCCATTCTATTGTTTAAGAAAAAATAAAGCTTATGCTGAGGACCCAAATTTATGTCATATTTCTTCTGTGAAGTGTTTTTAGAAGCCATCTGCGATTCAACAAAGGGGAATTGTGCCCTTCGGTGAGTTCTAGTGCCCTTCCGCTTAAAATAAAGAATACGATAAATCTAGGAGACGATGGCCCTGTATGAGAAGACATAGTGAGTTTTGGCGGTGATAGTGTAAATATATTGTTGACAGTTTATCCTACTAATTTGATGATGATGAATCCATGACAATACATTTCTGCAAGTAAGTATCTAGGTGTTCCGTAACTTGGGTTTGCTAGTGAAATCAAAGGAAATTGTATTTCCTGCTTAAAGTGAGAAAAGAATACTATATCCATGGGACTACTTTATAGGAGGATGTTGAGTTGCTTCTGGTGATCCCGACTAGGTTGCATATCTTGGAGATGATGTTAGGATATTTCAAACAGCAATCAGTCATAAAATTTTCTCTTTCCTGTATGATGATGAAGATGTAGTAAATGTGTGATTATGCTGTATGCTACTTTGTATGCCTTTTGTAATTTTGCGAGTATATTTGGATTCCTTGTATCTTGTACTATTGTTGTCCTGGGCTTCAAAATTTCCCTTATGCTTGATGATCATTGGTTATTTTCTTATGCTTTGCTCAAAAACTCTTACCTAACTTTTAAACCCCCCTTCCCCGGCCATGATCTCTTAATTTTTTTTGCCTTTGGAAAACGAAATGTGTTGATTCCATTATTAATTTTCTTCTACTCGGTAGTGTCATCAACTATGTATAAGTTATCTGTCTGTTTGTTTCTCAATGGCCTTTACTTCTCACCTGATGTGTTAAATTATATATTAATATAACTTTCGTGATTGATTAACCCTAACATCTTCTTTTTCAGATCGATGATATCTTCCAGCAACTCCGTGGGAAAATACAAGTTGCTGTGTTCTCTGCAACAATGCTACCTGAGGTTCTTGAGATTGCACAAAAATTTATGAGCAAACCAGTCAGAATCCTTTTAAAGCGTGATGAGTTTACAATGAAAGGTATGGAACAGTTCTAGGTTAATGTTGACAAGGAGGAGTGGAAGCTTGACACGCTTTGTGATCTCAATGAAACTCTGGCCATAACTCAAAAGTGTGATATTTGTTAACACCAGACGCATAGTTGATTGGCTTGCTGACCAAATGCGAAGCTGTGATCACACAATCTCTGCCACCCCTGGAGACATGGACCAGAATATTATCCTGCGTGCGTTTCATTAAGGATCTTCTCATGTGTTAATCACCACCGATCTCTTGGCTGAAGGGATTGATGTCCAGCAGGTCTCCAAAGTTATTGACTATGATTTGCCAAACTCAGCCAGAGAACTATCTTCACCGCATTGATCTAAGTGGAAGATTCGAGACGAGAGGTGTTGCAATCAACTTTATAATGCGAGATGATGACAGGATGCTTACTGACTTCCAGAAGTTCTACAATGTAATGGTTGAGGAGCTGCCTGCAAATGTTGCGGATTTGATATGATTGATTGAGTCTCCAATTTCATACACAAGCGCAAAGATGTCTGTTTGTGTTAGTTAGGGAAATTTTTAAAGTGGATTTGGTTTTTTTTTTTTTTTACTTCATTGTAATCATTGTTGTTATTGATTTTTTTTTTGTCTCCTGTGTTTTTGTTAAAAGCTTCTTTAATTGTTGTGACGTTGCATATCAAAGGCTCAAAATTTTATTAACAATAGAGATGAATTGAGGTTTTTTATCCAAGTTCTTTCCAAAACTTCTTCCCTCTAAACCAATCTTGGTTAAATTTCTTCCGTCAAATATTAATTAAAAACTGAGATGAATTGAGTGTTTTTTTTTATCCAACTGCAATTTTTTTAAGTGAAAAATCTTAAAACAAATTATAGAGTTGGTTTCATGCATGCGAAGGTATTGTTCCCCCCCCCCCCCCCCCCTCCACGCCAATCGCATCCATTAATGTCACAAAAGGTAGAGAAGCATGTGGTGACTGAAGCACATGCTTCTGATCTGATCCACTTTGAATCATCACATGTGATTAGGATTTAGCTATCGACCCACAATTGGCTCTCATTCGTTATGTTTTAGTGTCATGGGGAATTTCATGGTCCTCCACAGTCCACATTACTAATATCTCTTTCAATATTGTAATTTTTAAATCATGCCCCTTTCTGCTAAGGGGAAACAATTATTAAGATACTTCATAATCTTTTCTTGGGAAGAAACTTCATTGTCTCCATCGTTCTACTGCTGTCAAATTTGTCCTTGGGACAGTCTTGTCTTCATATATGTTTAAGACACTGAAGATCATATTTAGATACTTAGTTCTAAAATTATTTCATATGGTAGATCAATCATCAATAGGATATTCATATATTTTCTAAAATTATTTCATATAGTAGATCAATCATCAATAGGATATTCATATATTCTAAGTAAAATTTTTATTAATTGGTATTAACACATAAAATATTAGTCATTCTAAGATATTTTTGTTCCAAATCATATAATCAAAGATTATCATCTTTTTACAAGCACATCCTTAGGTGGGAATCGAATAATTAGTGAGATATATATGTAATATTTGATACATGTGGAAGATTATCAAATATGTTTGAAACTCTTTGTCTAACTACTTAAATGAAAGGAATTATCCCAAATGGATAATATTACTTGCTATAGGTGATTCTCGATTGGACATCATTTAAGAAAAAAAAAATATAGATTCCTATAAATCTGATCCCCAGCTGCTTTCACATTACTGATTAATTGCTTTTGATGTAACCTTTGGGTTTCTCGTTTTGCTTGCCTGCTTGGATTTGCATGGAAAAAAATGATGGAATCGTGTGGGAAGGGAATAGATTGTGCTAGGGGTTGCAATTTGCAAAAGGCAAAACAACAAACTCATGGCTGGGTCTCAGCCTGCAGGGTAGAGCCTTCCCTACGTTGCCACTTGTAACCCACACAGATAAACCCAATCTCTAGCTACTTGCGGAAAGTGGCAGAAGATAGGATATAGTCCTAAAGTACTCTTTCGAACATATCTGATATAACAGTAAGAGGAAGATGCTTATCATAATTGTGGAAGCAAGTTGGGGTTTGGGGGCTCTTTTCAACAGATTGATCATTTTCTTTCAAAACTGCTGGGAAATGGGAATCTCACATGTATTGTCAGCCGCATCCCTCCTCTTCCACTCTGGAAAGGGACAGTTTTAGACCACAAACAAGACATATATACCCCACTCCCATAATGGGAAATTTTTATATTTCTTTTGTTTTACACCTACCATATGTGATCATGCAAGCTTTGGGAAAAGAAAAAGAGACGTAATTAATAATTAAACCACCAATTAAATTAAATTAATTGATTAAGAAGGTTCATGTTTGTCTGTTTGAGTTAGGGGAACTTTAGACAGGTATCAAATCTAATGGCGATTTGGCAAAGACTACTGAATAGGGAATGTTGAAAAGGGTTAATGTCCCCGCGAACTACGCATTTGGGGTGATTGGACGGAACAATTGTCAACGATTCTTTAGATCATTAATTAAAGTAAAGCATATATACTTTAAGCTGCTTTAGCGCCTTATTGGATCTTTGCGTGTTCATGCGTTCAAAAGGTTGTTTAAGCTCTCAGTGGCTGATCCCTTCGACCTTTCACAGAAACAAATCTTCTCATTTGCTTTTCATTTTTTTTTTTGTCTTTTTCCAAAGGCAATGGGAAGAGCCCAGCTGCAGTTTTTGGTCCCAACTCCCAACTTCTTTTGATTGTAGTAGTAATGTAATGAACTTAATTATATGACACCTTATTGCAAATGCTTTGGAGCAAATGAGTAGGTGAAAGGGAAATATAGAGGGGAAATCAACCAGCTTAAACCTTAACTTTAAACCTTCAACTATGCCTACTAGAATACAGTCATGTCATGAGTATATAAGGAAATGTTCTTGTTTTACTAAGCCAAGGCTCAAATAATGTACTTAATTTGGCATAAATAAAGAGTTTGTGGGAGAATTTACTGAGATGAGAATCCTGATATCGCTATTAGAAAGAGTACTAACGCTGCATTACACTAGTGTTGTTTAATTATAGCTAGCTAGGTTTAGGTTTCAGCATACAAAAATTCATTTATATTATATAAACAAAATAAGAAGTTAAATTCCTAGTTAACTAAGTTAGGAGGCAAATGGATATTGAACTACTTAAAAGGAGACAAAAAACCTTGCACCTTTGCAACAATGGTATATAAGTCAGCTTGTGTGACTGCTGGTGGTGGTTTATTCTTTGTGTTTCTTTTTCTTGTTTTTGGTTTTTTTTTTTTAGGAATAATGACTCAAATTTGATCAAAATTTTTTTGAGATTAGTTAGATATTATTTGATGAATAAAAAGTCTTTTAAAAAAAGAATTCTAAGAGAAAAGAGATTTTTAATTGACAAATTTGTATACTTATATATAGTTGAAGTCTCTATAGAATTAGATATAAAAAAAATATAAAAAAATTGTAAAGCTTTATGAGATAAACACCCTATAACACTACAAGAGATAAAAATATTTTTGTGGGTATGTATGTTTAAGTGGACTAAATGAGAATGAAATGGTTATTATGGTAATCACTTTTATGGGTGGTATGTTTAAGTGCATTAAAGGAGAATGTGATAAACACTCTATAGTGTTACAGAAAATAAAAACGTCTTTATGGGTGTGTATGTTTAAATAGACTAAAGGAGAATGAAATGGTTATGGTGATATAAATGTTTGTAAGTGAACTAAAGGTGAATGAGATGATTTATATAGATATAGTGGTGTGAATGTTTGTAAATGAATTAAAGGAGATTGTGAGGATTCATATAAGTATAGTACATGGATGTACATGCATACGTATATGTTTGGATTGAGAATATTTCATAAGATTAGAGTCGATTAAAAGGGTTTATAGATATTAATTGTGAGTACTTAATTTGATTGTATATTTATAATTCTCTATAACTAGTGATTTTTTTTTAATCTGTAAACGTAAATCGATTTGATTGAATTATATTATATTATTATTTTTTATGTAATTGATTAATTATTTAATTACATTTTTATTGATATGATTGGATAAAGTCTTTTTGTTCAATATTTCTTGGTTGGTACTTGGCAGCCTATCCGTTTTTTGATTGCGGCTGCTGGTGTGGTTTCGCTTTCTTTTATTGGGGTGGTTTGCTGATCTTTATATTAGCAAAGAGCAATCCTGATTTTTTCCATTAGATTAACAAATCTGAACTTTCTAAAGAGGAGCAAACAATCAACTCAGAACATATACAGAAAAGATAGGATTCAATTTTCATGGTTAGACTTGGATATCACAGGATATTTCCATATGTAGCAGTTACTATAATTCTATAATAGTTCCAAAATGATCTGCTTCAAGAAGCCGTTTGATATGGAAAGAGAAGATTCATCATTTCGTCAGACCAAGTTGAAAAGAGATAGAATTGAAGCATGGAGAGTTGAAACACAATAAGAGAGAAAGCTTGAGGATTGGAGAGGATTTAAACATTTAGAATCAGTAGATGCATTGGGAAGAGTAACTGAATAAATGAGTCTGATTGGATTTGTATGGGCCTTTCGGTGATCAAAAAGATAATGTCTTTAGGCTTCTTTTTTAATCTCTGAATAATGGTATTAAAATATTTGGGAGTGACCAATAAGAGATAAACCCACCATATATTCCAAACGTGATGTCACCACTCTCTTTTCCATTCTATATAAAGCACCCATACTCCATTGCTTCCCACACCAAAGCAAAGCAAAACAACAAATTAGCTAGGGATGTCTCAGTAGGTTAATGGAACAATTCTGGGTATATGGCTAGGGATGTATACCTAAAGATCAGATGGGAGTGTCTTTGAGTTCCAGCTTCAGCATGCTTTGGTAGGACTAGGAAGAGCCTGCTAATTCCTCTGCTGCAAAAGGGCTTTAGGGTAAGGGAGCTGACAGAAGAGAGTGAGCACCCAGGGTACTTTCTTGCATGCTGGGCTTTCATGCTTGAAGCTCTGCGTGCTCACCCTCTATCTGTCGTCCACCTCTCTCTTTCTCTTTCTTTGTTATTAATTACTTTTGTATATGTGTGTGAGCCTGTGTAAAGAGCAGCTAGGATTTCTGTTTATTTTGCATGAATTTACTGTGTGCAGACCCAACATAGACATCTAACTACTCATTAACTTGTGTATTTGTGGCAGATTAAGGAAAAAAGGTCAACAGAAACGATCACTATTTTCGATGTCATCACTCATCAGGTCACCATGTACACAAGACCAGTTAAAGGAATATTATTAGCACTCCAATTTCTCTTTTCGTTGATGATTAGGATCAAGTGAGTCAATATTTTGATCAGAATCTCGATAATTTCTAGAATATTATTCTTAACATCCAGACAAAAATGATTATTGTAAATCAATAGCTCAGACAGATGATTTGAAAGCAACAACGGCGTATAGGGTTCCATTAACTGCATATATGAAATTTATTGACAGCAGCTGCGTGACTAGATCTAAGTTTTAAGGTTTGGGATAAGGGAGTATGAAGCTGCTTCTGTCAAGTAGTGTTTATTCATTAATACATGATCTTTCATATGACGAATTTAAGAAGAGGATGGCTTCAGTTAATTTCTTTTATTCTTCCTCCTTACTTATTGGGATATATTAATGTGTATGCATATATATATATATGATTTTTGGATGAATATTTCTTTTTCATTATTTAAGGGATCATTTGGATGGTAATGAGATTGAAAATAATGATAGATGTAAGATTAATTACTGTAATAGTGAGATTAAAATTAATTATAATATATGTATTTAAATGTAAAAGTAATGATAAAAGTGATATGAAAATAAAAATGATCTTTAAAAATTGAACCTAAAAAATGAGAATAAAAAAATAATAATGTACAAAGTTGGAAATAAAAGGCGCGGTGGTGAAATTTTTCTCACTTGACCTAAAAAATTCAATGGAAGACTGAAGTTAAACGTGTCTCACTGATATTCTCCAAACACTATCGTGATGAGATTGGAACCAAAGAAAGGGTGCAAATAGCACCGAAACGGTGTGACAGTGGGATCCAAAAGATCCCTAAGAACCTCTTCTTCTGTGCTAATATCTATTACGTGCTTCAAGCAGACGTGGAGGTCGACCTAGACCACAACCAGAAATATTGCTATAAGCTAATGATCAATGAACATGAGCTCTTAATGTTTTAAGGTTTCACAGCTGATTCCTGTTTTGTTAACCCGTATCTGAAGGAACCATATATAGTAGTATCTGTTGATCAAGCAAAAAAAACCTTGAAATCTCCTAAAATTAACGATAGAAAGATCAACAGAAAGCATCGAGTATACATCGAAGTATTGGAAAATTTTTCAAATTTGTTCTCTCAAGCACTAAAAGCAAGGAGAAAGATAAAAAGTTTCCATTTCAATTCTTTTTGTATCTGGATGGATCTTGAAATGCCGTAAAGCTCTATTTGTGTTAAGGATTCATGTTGTAGATTAATGTAGAATTCATTCTTTCTGTAATGACTCATGATTTTATTGCTTGGTGTATTGAATACAAGTTTCTTCAACTAATTGATGGAAGACCGATGCTTGTTTGATCACATGAAAGAAAAAAAAAATTTTTTTTGAGGGTTTTGGTTAACCAATCTAAGATTTCATATATATCTTCAACCCAGCAAAATATATAAACAAATTAAGGAGTTAATATTGATAGCTACAACTTTTTAAATATCAGAATGTTATTATATCAACATATAATCATTGAGAAGTGATCTACATTTGGATGAGTAAATGAAATTGTATTATCTTCATGATTGAAACAGGAAGAGGAAAAACGTACAATTTCAGAAAACACAGCTACAACGATTTGGTCTTTCTTTTTTTTGGGGGTGGGGGGCGAAGTAACTGATTAACTGTAAGCTGTTCGGTTTGGATGTTGAAACCAGTTATAATGGAAGAGGATAAGGGAAAATAGGCCTAATCGACCAATTGGTCAGATATTATTTTTTATTTTGATCTAAAAATTTTATGATTTTATCTCACAAAAAATATTTTATAAATTTATATTAAATTTTTATTTATATATCATAATAAATCTTTAAAATATTTCGATGTGATATTAAAATATCATAAATTATTCTCATTAAGCTTTACGTTTTCATCGTAATATAAAACATACATAAAATCCCATAATCATACACACAATATCATAAAATTAAAAACACATTAAGATTTTAAAAATAATTTTTATTATATAATAATTAACTCTCATAAAATAGCTCCCAATACGAAACATTTTAACTCCTATTCAATTAATTTAATTTTAATATCATTTATAAAATTTCACATTCAATCTATGAAATATTATTATTTTAATTAATAAATTTTATAATTTTATTTCACAAAAAATATCTCATAAATTTAAATTTAAATCTTTATTTATATATTACAATAAATTCTCCCATACAAGATTAAAGTGTCACACAATAATATTCGTCGTAATAATAAAAAAAAAAACACGTTTAGGACACTTTTAACTCCGATTCGTTTCTAAATTCGTGAAAATTGCATTGTAAATCTTTCCTCTTTATACTACAACACATCTATAACATGTTCTGAAAATTTTACCAATGGACGGATAATTACAAACAATTAAGGTAAATTTTAAAGGTCAAGGAGAAAAGAAAGGATAAAAATTTTAAAGGTAAAAGATAAAGAAAGGATAAGTAAATTTTTTTTTTGAAAGTGACGAGCTTCCTAGGATGCTTCAGCAATCTTTTCATCCCCATGCAAAGTGGAGCTGTTCTGTTCCTTCTCATCTGCATTCGAGCTCCTGGTTTCATCGACGGTAGGTTCAACACCATTTTCCACAACAGGCTGAGGCAGTTCACCGTTTTCAGAAGTGGTCTTTTCCTCTCCATTGCTGACCGGTTTGGGGGATTCTTTTAATGAAGAGATTGTCAATAGGCGACCAACTCCGTCGTATAAATTCTTTGCATCCATGATAAGAGCAGCTCCACCAGGGTAACAACGACCAAAGCATGTTGCACAATGTGGGAAAGCAACCTAGAATGAGGGAAGTTTGTCAGTACATGAAAGCTGTCAAATATGCTCCATAAATAGAACTTGACCAATTTCATAAGGATGCACCTCTATAAATGCTCGGCAAAGCGAGATGAAAAGTCCAGATTCATTTTCTCTGAGCATCCGTGTTGCATTGTACCTCAATAGGGAGTCAGAAACAGCCTGCAATCCCTTAATTAATTCTTGAGCAAGAACATTCTTCAAACTTACTGGGGCACAAGGACGTAGCTCATTCATTGCAGCAGAAACACCTAAAATCACCAGAGAGAGATAAGTCGATGTCAAAGAAAGTAGCAATTCTCTGAAACAGATGCTTACACTCACAAGATTCAAAGAATTAAGTGAGCACTATTATGATAAGAGTATAATTTTGCAAACAACCCTCAGCTTATATTTAACTTTATTAACTTTAGCTACCAACCACTTGAAAAAACCAGATACCTCAGGAAACACCTCAATTCCTTAAGGTCCAGTTATATCAAACCAATAACATTTATCCATCACAACTTTAACTTAAGAAATAAAACTGGTTCTCTTTTGCCTTTACACTCAACACAACAGCATTATGGATGAAAATAGCTTCAATCTAAAAGTAAGAATGTGTAATGCAACCTAACTATCACCCCCTTGACAGTTCCTGTGTCATTTATTCCTCTGATAGTTTTATCCAAACTTTGAACCATCAAAACTTTGACTTGAGAAATAAGACTGGTTCTCTTTTGCCTTTACACTAATCACGAGAGTATTTGGGATGAAAATGGCTTGAATCTAAAACTTAGAATGAGTAATGCAACCCAACTATCACTCCTTGACAGCTTTAGAGTCATTTATTCCTCTGATAGTTTATCCAAACCAATTGTTTCAAAACAAACCCACTATCTTAACAATTTGAAGGTAGAAATAACTTGATTAAACATTTGAGAAGCCATCAGTAAGGAAAAAGCAAGCATGGATCAAACTTACCGTTAATAAACACTGCAAGAGGAGGGTGTTCCATCAGATAAGATGGTGGAGTTACATCCTCCTGACTTTCTTCACTAATACTAGTTGCTGAAAAGCCAACTGCTGGCAATGGAACCCAACGATGTGAATCCAAAACTAACTGGAGCCAAGTAAGAGAAGAAGTAACTAATCACTACGCTGTAGATTGCTTGCTTCAGGAAAAAGCTGAGCCCAAATTGTATCACTTGGGCAACTAACCCATTTTGAGGACACTATTAAAAAGAAAATCCTAAACTTTGTCCCTTGCCTGCATACCTGAAAGTTTTCAACTGCTGTATTCATATTCTTTGAGAATAAATTGAGCACTGCCCTGTAAAGTTGTGAAGTATATGTAATTGCTCATATGGGTAAAAAGGAGTCGATAGGAAATACAAGGAAAAAAATAGGATTATATATTTACTCTTCAAAAAGAGATGGAAGCAAGCCTCGAAAATCCAACCCAACCCATCCGAGCCCCATTGCACAATACTGTCGACAACAACAAAGATCAATAGCATTATCAAAATGGGATGCAACACAATTTCGTGTTTCACAAGAAGAATGACCATGATTGCCACCCACAAGCAATGTTTCTTTTCCACCATTAACTCCATTCTGACTGGTGTTTGATAGAAAAAAGCACAAAAGCAGAGTTGCATTACCACAAATTTAAAAACAGGCTATCTTTCAGATGCGCTCAAAAGTGAAAATATTTTGACTACAGGCTTTTGTTGTCTATGCTATTGTCATAATGATCAAAAGTCAAATGATTGATGATATTTCTCCAATATCATATATTATATGAAGAAACAACTATCTTTATATATGTATACACACACACACACACACACACACACATTATGAATAACAGCTTGAAGAAATGAAGAAGACATGAATATAAGCAAATATTATAATTTTAAACTTTCTTACCATACACTGATCCAGAATATTTGATAGCGATCCACCTTCTGTTATCTTTGGAAGCATGACTTTAAGAGTTTTAAGGTGTGAAGTAATCTGATGCATAGCCCAACTAAAAAGAAGCCCACCATCATAATTTTCTTCACTTCCTGAAGTATCATCAGCAAATATTGCTCTATATTGGTTAACCACATCAAAAAGATGCATCCTATGACAGCTTATCATCCCTTTTAAATACTCATAAGCATTTCTCTGGTCCAGATCCTCAAGAATTCCTGTGAGCCATGTCTCTCGGCATCTCAAAAACTGAACCATGAAAAATGCTGTCAGAAGGGGAGACATGAAAGTAAAAGTGAACAGGAGGGTGGAAGAATGAACCCCAATGATAAAAGGGGTGGGGATAGAAATTGACGAAGTAGCTCTGCAAAGGTACCTGCAACCGCATTTCATACTCACTAAACACTGCTATTCGGCGCAAATATCCAATAATCCGAAGGCATTCTGGTAACTGCAATACACGGACCACATACTTGACTAAAACTCCAAACAAAATCAAGTTTCACATTTGTTGAATCACTTCCAAACAAATACCTGAATATTAGAACGAAGCTTCTGGAGAAGTTGAGAGAGAAGAGATTGGGTTGTCTGCCTAACTTCTGCAGCCAGTGCTTGAATAACAGGTAATCTTTCAAGCAGGGGAAAACAAATCTCAGTCAGCTGTCTTCCAAAAGTTGATAATGGAAGGAAATAATAGGGGTTAACTCACTTGGGGTGCATGGTTGAGAGTTTGCAAACAAAGGCTTCTAAATCAAGAGCTTCATCATAATTTCCATTCCTTACACATCTGTAGAAAATTGAGTTTAATGAGCCATTCTAGCACGTATTCTGTAATTCTAAGTGCCTCAACATTTACGATGTATTCAAGCACATACGTGTCCATAAGCTGAGGAATCTCAAGCAAGTCAAGCAAAGTACTGTGATTTGCTAGCAGAGTCTGGTTCATCTTCCTCTTCTCCAAAATCTGTTCAGCAGATTCAATAAACTCTGTGCAACCAGATGTCAGGTTTGGGATCTCAGAAATCTGCAAAGATAAACCCTACTTATAAGCATATCTGAGAAGGAACTTAACATTTCTATGAATCAAAAAAAAAAAGTTTGAAGATCAAAGCTTCATCAATGCACCATCTTTATAGGATGCCTAAATCATGTAAAAGTTAAGTTCAGTCCTTTTTCTCTTTTATAACTTACAAGTTTTCTGTTGGTAACTCTGTGGTTGCCATGAGATTATTACCCTACTTTTAGAAGTAGGGTAACCTTACCTAAATCTCATTGGTCATCAAAATATACAAGTTCTGCCTTCTTTCTCCACTTATTGAATCTTGTACATACAAAAATAGAGAGGGAAGCAAAACATCATATGGCAAAAAAACAGTTTTCAAGTACCATTATTTCATCAAACGGGGAGAAATCCAACTGTAAGCCCTCATGCTCTATCCAAAGATGCTTTCACAACTAATACAGATATTCCATCCAACACAAGATAATTAAAGCCATTTTTCAATATTTTTGTTCTTTTATTCATTAGCAAAGGCAATTTCTAATCTTGAGATTCACCAGATAGCTAGGAATGTAACAAACCGCCTGTATCACTCCATAAAATCAGACATCCTATTACCTAACTTTAGATCCCAGAGACCAAACCTTTCCAAGCAAAACTTTCAAGAGTGTTCAAAGCTCCTTGAAAACAATTAGAGAATCTCTTTGAATTTTGGTCTCCAAATGCTAGTAGCTAAAATTAAAAGAAAATGAAGTTTATAATTATTCAGTTGCATGCATTGTACTCTTTTCCAATCATCTAACTAATGTACATTTCTTAAATTAATCCATAGATAAAATGAGATCTCAGTATCAGACAACAAATAATAAGTACCAGAACATCAAAAAGTAAAAACTATGAAAATTGAATTGCAAAAGAAAGGTAGTTACCAGAGATTCGAGATGGTTATCGATAGAAGACACTTCCTCTTTGATCGCAACCAACGCATCCGCAGCAGCAATAAAAGCGCGGTAATTACCGACCGCCACTTCTTGCATTTGTCTCTGAATCCTCTCCGCATCAACTCGAAGAAGCTCCGGCTCCTTCTCATTCAGAAACAACAAACACGATTCAATCTTAAGCAACATATACAAAGGAACGAAGAAAGCAAAAACAGAAACAAAAGAAACGGACCTTATGGAGGCGATCGAGAGTGAAGGAGAGGAGCTCGGAGACGTAAGGCTGTTGAGAGACGGAGGCGAGAGGGAGGAGACTAGCCATGGCGGAAGTCGGTGACGCCGTTGGGGAGATGGCGTCATCTCCGTTCTCTAGTTCCATTACCATTGTTATATAAGGGTTTTGTTGGATCCTCTCTCGGAGAGACAAACAGATACGGAATCTGTTCTAACGGAGATTTAATTTAATTTTTTTTTTTTACAGCTTTAGTCTGCTAGAACTTTGTTTCTGGTTCGGCTTTTTGGATCTGAAAGATTTTGGTACCGAGATGAGCTCCCATAGGTGAGCTGCGGGTTAAATCTCTGGCCCGATTTGGACCGGCTGGAATTCCATTGGACGACTTTAACCCTTGGATTTCTAAATTTTTTCTTTTTTAATTATTTTAATTTTTTTCACTATATTTGTGTCAATAAGAAATTGACATGTTGATTTTAAGTTTGAATGTAAAAATTATAAGGATGTTTTATAAGAAGCATGTAATATGATTTATAAAGAAAAAAGTTAATCTTTTTGGTCATAAAAAATTAATTTAATAATTACGAAAACCTTATTTAAATGGGGGCATTTGTTTCAGCTAGGTTAGAAATTTGATTCTTAAATTAACACTATTTTAATTTTAAAAAAAATACACCTTGTTATGTACTTGAGGAGAAATTATTAGAAAATAAAATTTTTAATATGCAAATTTATTTAAAAATAAATTTTAATTTTAATTCAATTAATTTATACAATCATGATAATATTTAATAATTTTAAAATTCAAATATCAACATCTATAATTTTTTTTATTATCATGATGTGGTTTTGTTTGTATAAAAAAATATTTGAAAATTAAAGAGAAAAAAAAATTGTTTTAGTTGATGAAATAGATTAATATTTACAAATCAAGCAGTGCTATAGCATGTAGTTTATGAACAAATCTGGTCCACAAAATTTGCTGCAAAGTGCAAACTGCAAATTTTCTAGATTGAGTTCTGCATTTTTCTAGCAGTTGATTTCACACAAATTTGCAAATTCATGTTCTAATCACTTCCTTCCCAACATACTGGTTTACTTATTTAGAATTTTCCAAGCGAAATTTGACTGCTATTATATTTCATTTCAAGTTTCAAGCCTTGCATGTTAGAGCCATTCCTTTCAGCTTCTTCCATGGCACTTGATTTTTCACTTACAATATTTATCTCCAATGAGAATGGGAGGGTTAAAAGTTGACTAGATTTTGATATCAAAGGAATTCCCAGCATGAAGAACCACGTCCATGTGAATTATGAGAAACAAAATTTCCTCCCATTAGAATATGAGAACTCGATAGTTTATTTCAAAACACAAGCAGAATGATAAAAGAAAAAAAATACAAAACAGCCCCAATGGCTTCCTATGAAACCCCATATTTTCCTATGAAACCCTATCCTTACAAGAGTAAAAAATAACAAGCAGGCCTGAAAAGAAAGAGGAGGCATTTGATGCTGAACTAGTAGAAAGGATAGGGCTCCTCGTGTGGGCTATCTTGTAAAACAAGGCAATTCATAAGAGAACTTTCCTGAAGGCACATTTTTAATTAAGCAAAGATTCACATTGGTTAGTCCTCTCAGTGCTTGATAATGTATCTTCCTACTGCTTTGATCTATCTCTTCAAGTTAGAAAAAATTGTCAAAACTTGAGTGGTCTGCAAGCAGCTTGATGGATTCTTGTCCTCGAAATGAAGGAAGAAAAAAAAGGAAATGCTCCTCAGAAATTGAATCTCACGAGTATATTATGTGTTTTAATCTTTAACACAATGGATATATCTTGCTTTTCTGCTCTAACTAGGTACTTAGGCAGGTATACTACAATACTTCCTATAATAATCTGTCAAGAAGGTGACAAGTTAAGCTCTTTGAACCCTGATTGGATCACTCTTTGCAAATGATCCCTACAACTTAGTAGATACTCCATCCTGTATTGTGAGCTTGCTTTTAAAAAAGTAGCTTTTTGAATTTGCTAAAATGACCCTGAAGATATACACATTTATGAGTTTCATATTGCATAATCCAGCATCCTTCCCTCTCCATCTTGTTCACAAACAAATGTTGTTTTTCTTCAGATGCAAGCAGCTTCTTTCTCTCAATCCTTCAATCTCATGTGGAACCTTAAATCAGCACCATCTTCTTTTGAGTTTGTTATTTGTTCATTTTCAGAGTCTGCAGTCTTACTCATGGATTCCTAGCCATTTAATAAAAGATACAATGTAAGAAAACCAGCTTTCAAGAACAATGTATTTTGTGCATTCACATGAAGAAGGTATGGCAAGAAAGATACATGCAGTTAAAACAAGCAAACCTGACTTGCTGATGATGTCCTCGACCTTGAAACTGGACTGTGACTATGACCACTACCACTGTATCCTTGGCTATAACCACTATCGTTGTTTCCTTGGCTATAACCACTATTGCTTTGTCCACTATAACCATTACTGCTGTATCCAAGGCTACTTGACTCAGAGCTACCTTCAAGGTCTCTTAACCGGTTAAGTTCTGGCACTATAACAGTGCCAAGATCTGGTCTGTCCTTCTTCCTCAGCTCTGCACATTTTAGCGCCAATTGAGCAAATGATAAAGCCTCTTCAACTGGCCAATTTGGCACTGCTGGATCAAGCATATCAGCAAACGTTCCTTTTTCAATGGCCCTTCCAACATGGTGAGCAATACCCATTGGAGGCTTGGCTGTAATAATCTGGAGCAGCATTATTCCGAGGGAATATACGTCTGATTTAGTTGTTAGCATGCCTGTTTGTTGATATTCGGGATCTATATAACAAAATGTTCCTGCTGCTGAAGTCATGTGATATTGTGTTACACTGTCAGCTACAGAAGGTGGAACTAGCCGTGCTAGGCCAACATCGCTAATTTTGCTCACATAATTGCGGTCTAGGAGAATGTTAGCTGGCTTAAGGTCCCGATGCACTAATGGTTCTGGCTTTGCCTGGTGAAGGAATAAAAGGGCAGTTGCAATTTCGGCTGCTATTTTAAATCGTTTCCTCCATGAAAGTGGGCGAGTATTGCCTCTTCGAAATAACCTATCCTCTAAGCTGCCATTGAACATGTATTCATATACCAAGCATCCGTACTCAGGGCAGGCACCGAGGAGAAGGACCATGTTTGGGTGTCTCATGCAGCAAAGAACCTCAACCTGTACATGGTTGTATTTATAGAACAGAATATTAGCTTGAACTCAAAGGATATGGATGCTTAGAAAATGACAGGTTGAATAATGTAAATTTTTTTATAACAATCATGCATACAACCTTTTTTGTCTACTCTGACTGAAATTAAATGGTTTTAAAGAAAAAGATAATCCTTGTTTGTAACGCCAACATGAAGCCTTACCTCTTGCTGGAATTGTTTTTTCCCTTGAGCAGCATCAGGTCTTAAAACTTTGATGGCGACAGGAGTGTGATCAAGTTTACCTTTATAAACAGGTCCATAACCTCCTTCTCCAATCTTATTTGATTCTAAGAATTGTTCAGTAGCTTCTTCAATTTCTTCTATGGTATATTTTCTGTACCGAACATCATTATTGGCCAAAGCATTCAAAGCCCGATTCTTCTCATATGCCTCTTTCTTGGCTTTAGATTCTGCTTGTTTTCTTTTATATGCTTCCATATCTGCTAGCCTCTTTGCTGCCTCTGCTGCTTCAACCGCAGCTTTGCACTTTGCCTTCTCCATCTCTGCAATGGCAAGAGCAGCCTCTCCAGCTTGCCTGGCTTCCTCAAACTTGCGAGCCTCTTCCATCTTCCACTGATGAAGCTCATTAGCCTGGACTAAGAAAAAGTTTATTATTTGCCTGTACCTTTTATCCGCAATAACTTTATTATTTGTTAATTCTTACTTGGTTTTTTTTTTATCAAAACCATTAAAGTGGCCAAACATGTGTAGAAAATTCCAATTTTCAGATTCCAGGACAAAGTCAAAGACTCATTTTAGTTTTTAATTGTTGGATTAAAACTTGGGATTTCAATACTTTCTTGGAAGATATTGTGATTGAATTGACAAAAACTAAAAGGTTGAGATTATGATGGTATAAAATTACCTTTCTTTTGGCTGTCAGAGCTTCTTTACAAGCTGTGCTGTACATATCCATTGTTTGCTTAAGTTCAAGCTTCAACCTTCTCATTTCCGCTTCTACGTCTCGCTGCAATTCACGTTCATATCATATTATGAATGTTAGCACTTTTGTCATCAAGCCAACAACGCTTTACTATAAAAACACAACAAACTATCTGTGAATTCTTCTTACTGGCATTCAATGGCTAATACTGAAGGCCACTTACCGTACTTTTTGGAAGTGGCTCTAAAGGGGTACTTGAAACCATAGAGAAATCTAAATTTTGTTCAGAAATATCCATAGATCCTAGTGGAAGTTTTTCTAGAAAATCTGAGTCATTAGATAAAGAAACTTGGTTAGATGAGGATTGTCCTTGGATAGCTAAATCAATATCCAATGACAGATTTGCTGGAGAGCTTCTGTTTCGATCACGGTCGCGTAGAGGTACTTTCAAGGGATTATCCAAGGACAGTCTCTCTGATCCTGCATTTTTCAATGCTCCCCTTGTATATTGTCCTCTGTTGTAAGTAAAAGACACAATGTCAACACAGACAGGCAATAAAGCATAGTAGATTATTTGCCACATTTTTCCATCATAAATCTTTCAGTCAATACTAAGAATTGAACCAACTTTTCCAACCTGTTTCCAGCATCTTCAACTTGATCCAGTGGAATCTGAAGTCGCATTCCTGAGGGTACCTTTGGCGGGGTAGCAGTATTAGATACAGGTCGTTGTGCTGTTCGCACTGTCAATATCTTACCTTTGGAAATTACATATACAGAACAAAACTCTGGTGCAGTTTTGATCAAGCTAGTCGGAATATCATTCTTCGATTTTCTATAAGACAAATAACTGAAATTTGTTTGTTAGAACAAGATAGAGAGCACAAGAAGAGGGAATCAAGAAGGAAGATGTATTAATTAACCTTGAAATACCACTCCTTGACGTCTTTATTGCTGCACCAAGGACTATGCTGTTGATCAAATTTTTGCTGATATAGTCTAAAAGTGCTTTAGGGATATCAGTATCTTCAAGGATAACCTCCTTCATTTGAACCTGAACTTGACAATGGAATTAGATATGAGTTACAACTAATTTATGCCATGACATAACTTTGAACTGCTTACCCCTTTGCGTGCACAGTAGCCTCGAAAAGGAATGAAAAGCTGGTTTATGTCATAATCAGATTGGCTTTCACCCTCTGCATATTGAAACAAAAAACAAAAGAAATCTGAAAATAAGAATGCATGAGAAAAACAAACTTTCATTGACACTTTCTTGGGACAAAAGGGAATGAAGATAATAATATGAGAAACAAGAGAGGGTACCTACGGTTTTTATGCCTGACATGTATCAAGACGATGAATGGATTGGTGATCACAAGATGATCAATAGCCCAACGTACAGCATGTGGGCTGTTTTTATCTTTGTCAATGGCCACTGCAATGGTGTTGGTAGGTACATTATCATCGGATGCGAAGTGAGGAGCCATCTCAGGAAAAATCTTGTGACTTGTGGCTCACGGCAATGCTGCTAAACTTTGTGATGACAGAATAAGTTGCCACCACCGCCGTTTCAACCACTGGGCCAATGCATTCTCCACCATCTACTATAAACGTACCCTTAAAAAAAAAAAGAAAAAAAAATCCTGGAATACCAGAAGGAAAATGGGAATGATATGGAAGGAAAAAAAGAAGCCTTGTTTTAGGTTTTTGTCTTGGAGTTTAGCTGCAACTGCAATATTTTGCCGTGTAATGATATGAACCTAAGAATCCATGCCGGCCGTTCGCTTGTTTTAGGCAATTTGACCAGGCCCATTCCTTCAAAAATTGTGTTGTTAAGAAAGAACACAAAAAAAAAAAAAGTTTAAGAGTTTATCAACAGTTTTTACTATAATTAAAGTAGTTGACTCACAGTCAATAGTCAATCAAAATTTATGATAATCTAAGTATTCGATCAAGAATGAATCCAAGGAAAACACTTATATAAAATTTAATAGGTGATATTTGTAAAAATTTTTATTAAAATGAATAAATTAAAATTAAAATTAAAATTGATAAATTAAAAATTTTTATTATATAAATTAAATTTATAATATTTTTTAAAAAATTTAAAAGAATTTGATTTATTTATTAAATAAATATTTTTAATAAAAATATTGACAAAATTTTTATCATTGAATAAATATAAAAAAAATTTAAATTATAAATAATTTTTTATAGTATTAATTTTCTTTAAACTCTATTAATTTATCTATTTAAATTTTTTATTAAAATATTTATTTATTTATTTCTAATAAAAATTTTCACAAATTTCACTTATAAAATTTCATATAAATTTTATCCCTAATTTAAATTTAAAGGTGCAAATTATAAATAATAATCTTCTATTTGACACAAAACAAATACTCACTTATTTAAAATCTATTTGTCAACATGAAACTTACTTATATATATTGCTTGTATTTTTTTTTCAACTATAAAATGTCACCGCCATAACTTTGCTCTACAATTAGCATTAAGTTCAAACCGACGTCGCTTCAGGGCCATCCCCACCAGTTTCAACTCTAATTCTAAACCAAACCGAAGCAACAAAAACCCAGAACCCGACCCACAAACCCCCCCCCAAAAAAAAAAAACCAATTCGATTATTGAGAATCCGATCCGATCACGAGAAGATGTCGACGGTGTACGTTCTAGAACCGCCGACGAAGGGGAAAGTGATACTCAACACGACGTACGGCCCTTTGGACATCGAGCTGTTGCCCAAAGAAGCCCCAAAAGCCGTTAGGAACTTCGTGCAGCTCTGCCTCGAAGGCTATTTGGAAAACACAATCTTCCACCGCATTATCAAGGGCTTTCTCGTCCAAGGCGGTGATCCCACTGGATCTGGCATCGGTAACCCTTCTATTTCTTCTTTAGTTTGTGTTTCCTCTAGCCGTTTTCGATTAGTTAGGGTTAGTTAAAGGTTAGTTATGAATTTGAATTTTGCTTTTAGGTGGAGAAAGTATTTATGGCAGTGTGTTTTCGGACGAGTTTCATTCGCGTTTAAGGTTTAACCATAGAGGTATCGTTGCTTGTGCCAATGCTGGTTCGCCGCATTCGAATGGTAGTCAGTTCTTTATATCTTTGGATAAATGCGAATGGCTTTATCGAGAAAACACTATTTTTGGAAAGGTAACTGGTGATTTCTTTAAGTAACATCTTTTATTTTGTAATCCATACATTTGTGATACTGGAACTGATTGTGGGTTGTTGGTAGATTACCGGAAACTCTATATTTAATCTTCTGAGGATAGTTGAGGTTGACACTGATCAGAATGACCGTCCTTTGGATCCTCCTCCGAGAATCAAATCAATTGAGGTAGGTTTCCCTTTGTTATCTTTTGATTTAAGATAGAACTAATCAGACTGCTGTGGCATGTTGTATGTTGCTTATTGATAATAGTTTTTATTATATTTGAATTATGTCGTCCTATTTTATCCTTTGATTTCCTATTTTTGGTACTGTGGAACCCTTTTGAAGATATAGTTCCGAGAGTATCTTCGAGGCCTTTGATCCAACCCAGGCTGAGAGGAAAGATTTGAAGAAGAAACCTGTTAAGTAAGCCTTCTTCTTCCATAATTGAGGACCCTCTTTTGAGCAATGATAGGATACTTAAGTGTATCATGATGAAGATATTCTTATTGCTTAAGGTATATGTGTTATATGGAGAATGCAGAAAGATGAACTTGCTGTCATTTGGAGAAGAAGCTGAAGAAGAAGAGAAAGAATTGGGAGCAGTGAAGCTAAAGATTAAGAGTAGTCATGATGTATTGGATGATTCCCGTCTCCTAAAGCAAGAAATTCCTGATAAAGAACAGGTATGATCCCATATCTATCTTGATGTGTATTTTCGCCTCTTTCTTTTCCTGATACTTAAATAAATTGTCAAACCATGCTCAAGCCAAGTTACTTGATGTATAGGTTTCTTAAATTTACAAAAAACGCTTCTTCCGACCATCCCCTGAACTACCTTTTGGCTTAGTGTAAAGTTAATCTGATTGTCTGGTGAAGACATATTTTTTTTCTTTTGAAAGGCAACGTTATAAAAGTGGTTTAGCAACCACTTAATGGTGAACATAACAAGTCATGTAATTATGCTGATGTACCAAGTATCTTTGCCATATTACGAGCAATTAATGAATATTGCGACTATATTCTGAACATAACTTATTTGATGCAGGATTTGTCTGATACCAAAACCACCAAGAATTTGCAATTGTCTGTGAGGGGAGCTCTAAGCTCAAGGAGAGAAGGAGCACAAAAAAATGGAGAAGCTGAGTTGTCTGATTCCCTTGATCGTAGCGACGATGATGAGGCTAGTTTTGATGCACGAATGTGTCGTCAAATACTAAATAGACGGAAGGAGCTAGGAGATCTCCCATCTAATCTAAAGATGCACAATGGTAACTGTTCAATATGGAACTCTTTTCCCTTTTGGATTTAAACAGAAGTTTGAAGTCCCAAAAACTACTAATTACGGTGCTTATTCTCATATAACAAGAATTTGTCACCTCATTGTTAAAAATTTCTAAATTCCAATTTAGGAAAACTAAAATAGAGGAAACTATAATCAGTACTTGCACTATATTCTTGGGTAATAGTAACAGTCATTGGAAATCTTTACAAATGAGGTAACACTGTTAGATAGTAGCTAATTTCAAAAAATGTTGTCATGTGCACATGAGCGTTCTCAGGCATGGTTCCTTCTGAGTTTAAAAGCACCTTTGAAACAATTAGAGATATCATGAAGAGAAAATTGGAATAGAAGTTTTAAAAACTGTCGAAAAGGATATTCTTGAAATTATAACAGCTTTAGTTTCTCAAATTTCTTTCTGCTTAGTTCATGGTAATGGTTCACTTATTCACGATAATTGGCGTCCAAATTAGAATTATCTATAACATCTCATAAGGAAGGAGCATTATTATGCAAGACCATAAGATTTCAGGTGTCGTTTTTTGAGAGACGTTATGTACTTGGCTTAAGATTTTGATTTATCAATGTTAATCCCTTTGAAGTTGGCATTTATCATAATAGCTGTTCTTTCTAGTCTACATCCTTCATTCCATCTGGTTTACTTGTTTTTTGGTGATTGCCCTATTTTTACAAATGGTCTTGACTTATTGGATCTATGTGCAAAAAGCTCCAAAACAAATGACTGATATTTCTGCACCAAGTTAAACATATGAATGAAGTTTTTTTTACATACTTTTGCTACTCTTAATTAGTTTCTTGAACGGTTTCTTGTAGAATATACATGTTGAGCAACCATCACATAATGACAATTGACATGCATGCACCTGTCAATTTTTCTAATACATGAAAAAGGTTCTGCAACTGAATGGTCTTGCTTTCATTAAACATCTGCTATTGGTTTTTTTAAGTGCTTTTTTACTTTGTTACCCAATCTGTTGCTTTTACTATGGTTATTGATTTGGTTGGTCATGACTTGAAACATTTTTCCCTCTAATTTTTCTGTTTCTTTTTTAACATTATCACCTTCTATTGCTGCTGCTTCCCCTGCCTATTCAAGAGACAGAATCTGCTGCTGTTGCTGCTGCTGCTGCTGCTGCTGCTGCTGCTGCTGCTGCTGCTTTATCTTGTTTGTATATAGAACTCAATACTTTTTGGGTTCTGTTCACACCAGGTCCAATGATGAAAGTATTGATGATGACCAACCAAGGGTAGAAAAGCTGTCCCTGAAGAAAAAGGGTATGGGATCAGAAGCCAGAGCTGAGTGCATGGCTAATGCTGATGCGGATTTACAGTTATTCAGTGAGGCTGAACGAGGAAGATTATTGCAAAAACAGAAGAAGTGCAGACTTCAATGACGTGAAGATGAAGTATGTTATGAAATTTCTGGTTCAATTGTAGTTTTTCCCTTATTTTCCTAATTTTTTTCTTCTGTCTTTTTGCAATGCAAATCTCACAAGTTGGAATTCCCATACAGCTTGACTTAGCAAAAAGCAAACTACCATGCTATCTGCTTTTTGCTTATGAAAACTTTTTCTCTTATTAATATTAGAGGGAAATTTTGTTCCTTTTAAATATTCTCTGAACATATTGGAACTGAGTCTAGTCTTTATCATAACCTACTTTTCTTTCTTTGTTGTTTTATGAATCCTAGGTTTTAGCAAAACTTGAGAAGTTCAAGCAATCCATTTCCACAAAACCAGAAGCTTCAAGCAGTGAGCCTGCTGGTGTTCATATTGAGGATTTGTCTGACTGGAAAGCAGTTTGGCTAGAATTTGCTCTTGATACGAAGGTTGGTTCTCTATCATTTGTGTATAAATCCCGTATGGTTTCTTGTAAGCATTTCAGCAAAAGAAATGCATGTGATTTTTGTATTTATTTTATGAACACTACCAAATATGTCATGCCAAATAAAAAAGAAAGCATAAACAAAAAGCTTCTATTTTGGCTTCGTCTTTGTTTAAGTCCAATAGCACAAAAGAGGAATCGTATGGAGTTATATTTCTTTGAATCATGATGCAGAATGGTATGTTTCGCAAGGATGATCCAAATGATTATGTGGTGGTTGACCCTCTTTTGCAGAAGGGGAAAGAAAAATTCAACCGTATGCAAGCCAAGCAAAAGCAACGGCAACGCGAATGGGCTGGCAAATCTCTTACTTGATCTATAAAGGGCTGATGAAAATGATGGGTTCGAATCACATGCCTGTCTGCTTTTTTGCTTTGACTGCTGCTTCAATATGGATACCCAAGTCCCATGAATCAAACATAGGGAGCTTGAGGCTGAATTTCCCCTTACAAAGGTATTTGACATTTATATTGGTATCAATATCCGGATCACAAAAGGCGGATATATTTTGGATATAAAAGTTTCTGTATCAATTGGGTAAATATGATGGAAATTTATAGTAAATATCAGATATTTTGAATGGAACTCTAGTTTAGATTAATGATTCTTATATTTATACATGTTTTGATGTCATAATAATCAAATAGATACTAGTAGAACATATTAAAATGTTACCTATAGTATAAACAAATTTTTATAATATCAAAAATGCAAATCAGCATAATTTACTATTAATTATCATTATTGTATTACTAATAATATGCAATATATATTTACTTAAATCCAAATTAGTAGAATATGAAATTTAATTAATTTGATTAGTGTAATAATAATTCAATGGTTCTTTTGTAAATATATATATATATATATATATATGATTATTGGAATTTGTTAGGTGATAGATGTTCTATGGATTACTTTATCCTTTATTCCATCTTCTGTATTCTCATGCTCTTTTGCCTTAATTTTTTTTACCTAAGCCATTGTAAAACATGATCTTTGGCGAAAACAAAAACATAAAATGAAAAGCATGTGGACAAAAGGAAATAATAATCCAGGCCTAACTGAAGAATCAGCGTGATCGAATGACATCGTCTGACAGCTAGCGCCACCACAGCACCGTCTTCGTAACAGTAGAAGAATCAAAGGCCGCGTTCACACCTGCGCACGTTTTTCATTCTTTTTTAATGTTCCTGTTTCAGTCTTGGCATTTTCAATTTCTGCAAAATTGTGTTGACGCCCCATCTTAAGTTTCATTGATGTTGATAGGTTGCCACCACGTTACCCATAACATTCTCTCACCTATATAATGCATCGAGACACTTGACATTTAAACTCACCGTTTCACAACTTTCTTCTTCTTCACTCTTTTCTTTGAAATGTATAGCGGCGACAATTACAAGCGGCGACGAAAGGAGAGGTTTGCCGACGAAGATGGTTACGACGACGACGGTAACTGTTCCAGTGATCATGAAACCAAGAAGAAAAATATGAGTGGTATTATCACTTCGTTACTGTTGCTTGAAGAGCAAGTAAAGCGAGACCATGAAGAGCAAAATGTGGCGTCCGACGAAGTGAAATCGATTTTGGAGTCAGCCCACAAGAGGAAAACTTCAACCATGCTTGAATTTTACTCCAACCTCCAAGATTGCTACTCCGAAACCGACGAAGTCAACAGTGTAAAGCGGAAGAAGTCCCGCGCCATGGCGTTCTCCGTCGCCGCCGTTTCCGTTAACAAAACGGAAAACCAATCAGTCATCAATCATAACAAACAATCCGGGTCCATTCAGCATAGGCGGTTATGGGTGAAGAACAGACCGAAGGCTTGGTGGGACGATTGTAACCGACCCGATTATCCGGAAGGGGAATTCAAGAAGGCGTTTAGGATGAGCAAGTCAACGTTCGAGCTCATTTGCGAAGAGCTCAACTCCGTTATCGTCAAAGAAGACACAACGCTACGGAACGCGATCCCCGTTAAGCAAAGAGTGGCGGTTTGCATTTGGCGGTTAGCCACGGGTGAACCGTTACGCCTCGTTTCGAAACGGTTCGGTTTAGGCATCTCGACGTGCCATAAATTGGTCCTCGAAGTCTGTTCGGCGATACGCAACGTTTTGATGCCGAAATATTTACAATGGCCCGACGAGGTTTCGGTAAGGAAAATAAAAGAAGAGTACGAGGGTGTTTCGGGCATACCGAACGTCGTCGGATCAATGTACACGACGCATATCCCCATTATAGCACCGAAAAAATGCGCGGCTGCATATATCAACAAGAGACATACGGAACGGAACCAGAAAACCTCGTATTCGGTAACTGTACAAGGTGTGATCGATCCAAGGGGAGTTTTCACGGATGTTTGTATCGGTTGGCCAGGTTCGATGAACGATGATCAAGTGTTGGAAAAATCAGCTTTGTACCAGAGGGCAAAAGAGGGATTATTGAAAGGAGTATGGGTTGTTGGGAGTTCGGGGTATCCGTTAATGGATTGGGTTTTGGTTCCTTACACACGACAACATTTGACTTGGACACAACATGCTTTCAATGAAAAGATTGGGGAGATTCAAAGGGTTGCCAAGGAAGCATTTGGGAGATTGAAAGGGAGATGGTGTTGTTTGCAGAAAAGGACAGAAGTGAAGTTACAGGATTTGCCTGTTGTACTGGGAGCATGTTGTGTTTTACATAATATTTGTGAAATGAGGAATGAAGGGATTGACCCAGACTTGAAAATTGAGCTTGTTGACGATGAGATGGTCCCTGAAGTTGCTTTGAGATCGGTAAGTTCCTTGAAAGCTAGAGATGCTATCGCTCATAACCTTCTACATCATAATCTTGCTGGCACTGCTTTTCTGTAATTCTGTAATTTACAGAAATGAAGTTGTAATCTGGAAAAAAAAATTACCAGTACTTTTTTGCAATGTAGTATAACATTATTGTAGGGACTAACTGTAAATTTGTTTGTAGGGGATGTGTAAAATTATATGTTTATCCCCTCATACAAATGGAATATTTGGAGTTAATAGTGTTAGATTTACATTTAGGAGAAGATATTTATATTCCTAGGTTCTATACTTCTTCAATTATGAAATAAAGAATACGAATGAATCAAATGTAGAAAATATATTTTTTTAAATGTTCTTTTTTTTTTTTTTTTTGAATTCTAGGGGTGATATTGGCGCAATTAGTTATGGATTTAAGAAACTTCTATTTCATCTCAGCACATGAACCATTCAGAAAATGTAAATGTTCATATATTCAGAAGTCAGGACCAGCATTTTCTGATATGATTTAGCAGTTCTTGTTTCTGCATTTTCTTCTGTGAAATGCTGTCTGCCTCTCTCTCTCTCTCTCTCTGTTTCTTTTCGCAAGTCTACCGCTGTCAAGGGGGATGATGCCAACAAAAAAAAAAAAAAAAAAAAAAGGAGATGCAAGGAGCTTTACCTGTAAGCCTCGCGTATATAACGAAATTCTGTAGGTCATGCAGAGTGGATTGTACGTATTTGCCCAGTCAAATAGACGTATGGCTTTGCATTGAAAATCTAGAGTGAATGTGAAGGTTTTTTTACATGCAAAACATGAGAACATAAGAACTGATTGTAACAACCGTTAACATGATTGAAATTGGGTATCAACATGTCCATACCATAACGCATCCCAGGTCACGGATGAGGTCAACCAGCACTATGATCAATGTCAGCATTAAACCCGTTGATCATCACGATCAGCTTGAAGACGGAAAGGAAAATGTGCAAATTGTATCATCAAGGCCCGGGAGTCAGGTTTCTTGTCATCAAATTTGTAACCTGCCGAAAAGCCAAAATTCCACTGTCTATAAATGATCGAATGCAAATGCTGTAATACTAATTCATAGTGCATGCTCAACTTTCTACAAAACATCTGTTGCACCATTATTCTTCTTTCTTTAAGTTCTATAAGCAACTTTTTGTGCCTAGATTACCTTGAAGAGCTCGCATGGCAGTCATTGCACATTTTGAGTTATTGAACTCTACAAAGCACAAAACCATGGCTCTATCTCCACTCTGCAATTGGCTTAATTAGTTATACAACGATTGAATACAGAGAACATAAATAAAACTATATTAATGGAAGAAAAGAAAGGTAATATGTTAACATCTTGGTATATTAAGCCATCTTTCCCTGACATTTCTCAGGAGGCTCTGCATAGAAAGCCTTAAGCACAAAACAAATGAATAGTAACTCATCTAAGCCAACTTGGGATTCTTCTAACGGACTAAAGCATGTCAAGAAGCTCTAGCAATAACTGGGAAGCTAAATCCAGAGAAAAGATCAAGAAATGAACTCACATGTCTTGGTTCCTTGTGAATAACTTTGATATCTTTGTAGCCAATAAATGGACGGAAAAGATCTTTGATGTTAAGTAAAGGATTACACTAACCGCAAAGCAGTGGGAATTTTGGATATTAAGGCATATTACAGTTCTTGCATAATATTGTGAAGCATATGTCTTTTCTCTGAAACTTTGCTCAAACATTCTTGGGATGTTGTTGAGGAATATCTCCATGCATAGAAGCATGCATGGGCAAAAAGGATACGGCCTACTTCTCTTCTTGTACAGTCTGTTGGAAGACCATCAACAAACAAAATATTTGATTCTTCAGCAGCAACTGAGGGACCATCACTGTTTCTTGTAGAGGCAGGCTTTTCATCAACAGCATCATGAATACCAGGCTTAATGCCCAGTGGACCATCCTGTCTTTGGCCTACTAAGGTTGGATCTTCTGAAGAAGGAGGGTAACCCTTTGTGCTAGCTTCAGCTGATATGGCACCAAGGCTGGGAGCAGGAGCACTTAGACTAATGCCTACGGAAGCATCCTGTCTTTGGCTAACTAAATTTGGAATTTCTAGTGGAGATGAATAACCCCTAATGGTAGCTGCAGCTGATACAGCACCAAGGCTAGGTTCAGGATGAACTCCAGCACTTGGACTAATGCCAGGAGCATCCCATCTATGGCCAACTAAATTTGGAACTTCGAGAGGAGATGAGTAACCCATAATGGAAGCTCCAGCGGATACACCACCAAAACTAGGTTCGCAATGAACTACCACGCTTGAACTAACACCTACTGGAGTATCCCATCTTTGGGCACCTAAACTTGGATTTCCTAAAGAAGATGGGTAAGCCCTTATGGTTGCTGCAGCTGATAAACCACCAAGATTGGGATCGGGATAAACTCCAGAATTAGAAATATTGTTCACACCATAAAACCCAGGCTGGAATTGATTTATCTGCATGAAAAAGCCAAGGAAAAGGAAGGGACATTCAGTGATATGATAATTTATTTAAGAAAATAAAATAATAATAGAAATGCCTTACATCTCTCTTTTGAACATCTGAAGAAGAAACCTGCATATCAGCATGATGAGATGCCAATGAGGGTGCTTCAGATGACAAGTAGCCAGGAAAGCTGGGCCTTGGAATACTACCTGTTGCAATGAAAGTCAACAACCAACAAAGCGATGTTAACTTGTTAAGATCAATTTGGGGACGGGACATGTAAAGCACGAAAAACCAATATTCATGATCAAAAGATTCTAAACCGGGAAAGCTTATTTGTCATCTACCATTATATTCCATCATTAGGGTATGTCATGATGAATGCCTCAGTGCAGGGCACAAAATAATCAATCAAAAAATTTTCCCTTTCCACAAACTATAATTGTGGAAAACACATCATTGATTAAATTCAATAGGTAGCAGAAACAGGGAAAAGCTATCAGAGACTATTGAATAACGGGAATGGAAAATACTGTTGCCTAACAGAAATTCATAGCAAGTGCAGTTCATTAAAAGAAATCACCTTTATGATTTTACATGGCACTTTAACAAGTCAAGAATCATGGGAAACCTGGGTATTCGCCATTGCTAATATTGTATATGTTTAAACAAAAAAGAAAAACCCAATAGCTACACTATCCAATTACAAGAGAAAAAAAAATAGCTAAATTCAAGCTATAACAAAGAGTACGAATTTGCAGAAAATGACCCAAAAGACAAATTTAATCAGCAAACAAGTGATTAGGGGTAAACGAAGACAAGAGTAAGCACCTCTATCTGCTGCTGCCGCAGAAGCAGGGTATCTGTAATAAGGATCCCCCATATGTTTCTGTAACTCCTCCTATCCTTCTTTAACTTGAAACCCCTGGCGGACCCCTGGCGGACCCCTGTATTAACATTTGCGATTTTGGTGATGGGAAAGGGAGGAAAAAGTAAAAAGAAAGCAAAGAAATTTGGGCTTTGTTTGGGTCATGCCTGAAAGGTTCTTGGTTAGGCTAATAGCCCGATACAGAAATTCCATATATATATATATATTCGTGAGATTTTCATAATTTAAATTTTGATTATTAAAATAAAATTTTAATATTTCATTAATAATGCATACGGTGATAAGCATAATTTGCTTTTTTTATTAAAATTTAAAATTCAAGTTCCAAGGACATTCTTTCTTTTTTTTTTTTTAATAAAAAAAGAGCAAAAGTGTAATATCAAGATCATTCATAGAAAATAAATGATCAATTTATATCATATGAACCTTGGATATAAGATCAGCATTACCAAAAATCAAACCTAGTTTGCAAGATAATGCTCTAAAATTATTAGGTGACATTTAATTGATTCAAAGTCTCAAATGGGATTGCAGTACGGTCTAACCAATTTTCATTCCCAAAAGGAAGTCCATCACAATTGTTTAAATTTAAAAACATGTCAATGAATTTATGAACAAGTGAATGTTTTAATTGGTAAGAGTTGTCATCATTGACATAAAAGTTTTTGATTTAACAATAATCGATGATGGTAATTTTAAACGTAAAATTATTAATTATTTATTATAAATTATTAAATATGATATATTTTATTTTGATTTGAAGATTGAATAATTTATTTATTTCATATTTTTCTTAAACAACAAAATCTGAATTAGATTTCCAACTATTGTTCTTACCCTGCAAAAAGATTGAATAAACAAAGGCAACAACAGAGGTTTTTTCTTCAAACTTCCCTAACACCAAAATGAAACAGCTGTCGTTTTGAGAGCAGCTGCTAAACCACCTGTCCTGAATGGTGTCAAACGTGAAGGAAGATGGGAGAAAAACATACCCTTTCTTTTCTTTACTTTCTCATGTCACCCACGTTGCAAATGTACATTTCAATGTTTTTATATTCAAATACAAAACTGACCCACCAATGGCATATCATCACATGAGCAAGAACAGTCACTGTCAGATAATAAATGTCCACGTTAGCCTTGGGGTACTACTACTAGACCCAGATTAACTGGTTTATTTGTACTGGATCATTTGATCTAATTATGGTACAACTCACCACACATGAGTTATTCATATTACCGCAGAGTTCTGGCAGAGTTTTGCCGGTTTCACAGCTAGATTTCACTGTGAAAATACCCTTTCTTGAACACAACGACCGTTGCATAGAAACATGTTCTTTTCCTACAATTAAGGTCACAGTAAATTTGTGTGTCAGCACTAAGAGAAGAGATCAACCCTCACTTTTTTGAGCAGCAACAGACAGCCAATGGCTAACCGGAGAATTGAAGAAGAAGACAAAACCAACATCGTATGTTAGGCGAGTGAACAATACTCTCCAATCACAACCCAACACCCAGTGGGCCGTCCTTGCAGCTTTCTTGCCCTAAAATATCATATATGACCGGAAACGACACCTCTCAACACCTCACCTTCGAAGTGATATTCACGCGTTCAACACCGCGCATGAGAGTACCCTCTCTCTTGCGCTGACAACACTCCTTAAACTTATTGCTTAATTAATAAAAATAAATATAAAAAAACCTGACCTTCCCTCCTTCGAATTCCACCCTGAACCCACTCCAGACAAGCATCATAACACCGCCACGCTGGCAAAACGCACGTGGAAGGTTTTGATTGGTTTGTAAAGGGGAAGGATCGAGAGGGTGGAAGTAGAGGATAAAGAGGAAGACAGTGAAAGGGCTGTGTTTTCTCCTCATAATCTCTTTGTTGGCTGTTGGCAGATAATGAGAAAGCTTTGGTGCTTCTTTCAAGGGAGAGACAGAATAGTTGAGAGCTTTTAGAAGAGGAAATATATAAATAAATACATATAAGAGAGAGAGGGTTTAGAGAGAGAGAGAGAGATGGAGGGCATAGAGGAAGAAGAGAGTAGAGAAGAGGAGGTGTTAGGGTCAAGCTTGACGATGGAGAAGGTGGCGGCGGCTAAACAGTTTATTGAGAATCATTATAGAGCTCAGATGAAGAATATTCAAGAACGCAAAGAAAGGTACTGTTTTTACTTATTCTTTAAAAAAAGCTTTTTAATTTTTTTGCATTATTTATTATCTTTGTTTGGTTACTGAGAAACTAAAAAAGAAAAAGATAGAATTTTTTACTTTTAGGTTAGTGCATTTTTTGGTGGAATCAATGAACTTTGTAGTCAACTGAACCTAACTTCAATTTTTTTTTTCTTTAAAATTTTTTTTCTGGTTTTGAGCTGATGAGTCTGGTGCTTGTTTTCTATGTGGCTTAGTTCCATTTTTTCTGTCACTGTTTGGGGAGTGGATAAATGTCAAATTAGGTTTCTTTGATAGGAAGTGGAGCATTTAATAGGAGTAATTGAACTGCTTCCCCAAATCAGGTGAATTTTTTGAAACCGGGAATTCAGAGTATCAAGAAAGATTTTTGTGTATTTTTCCTTGCTTTTCTAACCAATTAAATATAGTGGCTTATTAAATCTGATCTGGTGCATGATTTAGTTATCAATGCAAAGTTGCTCCTGTTGGAAGTAACTATTAACTGTCTTTTACTGTTTTCTACGAGCTGGCATGATCCAAGCATTTCTTTGTATACTGAAATTTTCTAGTTCTAGGTCATAGAATTTCTTTTTCTATTACTTTTTCTCTGGAATCCCAACCCTCCCTCCCCCTATAAAAAACCCACAACAACAACAACAAAGGGAGATCCTATTACTTGTGTTCTTAGGAAAGTGGAACAAAAGAACAATGAAGTTAAAAGCAAAGTTTTTCGTTTGAAAAATGATGGAAAATTTGTGACTAATCTAATATTTCATGTTTTCTTATTGGCCTTGCAGTTGTGTATATGTGATTTGTCATGAGATACACATGCATTCCAACATATATTCAATTAAGACAATGAAGTAAAGCAGGTTTTGCTTCATTGATGTTTAGAATGTGAACATATTTTTTTTGAAGAAAGTATGTGCACATTTTATTTGTTGAAAACTGGTGGATTTCAATGCTTAGATTGGTTTTTACAAATTCATCACAACCATGATGTTGTTTAAGACAATGAAGTAAAGCAGGTTTTGCTTCATTGATGTTTAGAATGTGAACATATTTTTTTTGAAGAAAGTATGTGCACATTTTATTTGTTGAAAACTGGTGGATTTCAATGCTTAGATTGGTTTTTACAAATTCATCACAACCATGATGTTGTTTTTTGTGCAGCATGCAGATTTTAATAGTATCTGAGTTCCTAGTCAAATTATTATCTATGGTATTCATCCAAAATAAACCTACTAATTACATCTGGTACATGATATTTTCAACTTTATTTTGATAAAGAATTCATGAATCGATGCTAGAATATGACTTTTGGTTATTTGGGAATTGAGATTTATTGCAATGAAGTTTCTTATTCCTTGTAACATTGTTTTCACCAACCTGATGTATCCTTCTCCAAAATGTTGTCAGCATTTGTAAGCTTTGAATTGGTAATGTAGATTTCAAGTTAATAACATGATTTACTGTCATTGCAGACGATGGGTCCTGGAGAGAAAGTTAGCTGCTTCAGATGTGCCCAAGGAGGAGCAGATCAATCTGATAAAAGATTTAGAGCGGAAAGAGACAGAGTTTATGAGACTTAAAAGGCACAAGATTTGTGTTGATGATTTTGATCTTTTGACCATTATTGGAAGGGGAGCCTTCGGCGAGGTTAGAATGCTAATGCTTGTTATACGTCAAACTATTAATTGTTTCTATTATAAGCTGCTGCATAGTCCCTTTTATTTGGAACTATGTGTTGTTTTCTGCTTCTTATTTAGATCATCATTTATGCATTGGCTGCCAGGAGTAGTTTATTGCACATACTTTTTCTGCAGGTTCGACTGTGTAAGGAGAAGAAATCTGGAAATATTTATGCTATGAAGAAGTTAAAGAAATCCGAAATGCTTATGAGAGGACAGGTAACATGCAAATTACCATTCATTTGATTGATACCTCTAAAGTCAGAGTGGAGGAGAGTGGAACTTTTGTCAACAATCTGTCTTCATGTTACCTCTTGGTTTTAAAACTTAGGCAGATACTCTCTACATATTAACTTCCCTTGATTTTAAAACTAACTCCAAGTTTGTTGTATAGTACATCTGATTAAGGCATGATTGTGTATTCCTTTTCTATTCTGCCCTAATTTTCAGCTGAGGTCTGCTCCTTGATTGATACGTAACCCTCATATAAATATCACATGGTTTAAAACTGTCATTTTCCATTAGAGTCCTTTCTGTACGGGTAATCTAACAAAATGTATTTTGACTCCTTAGGTAGAACATGTTAGAGCAGAGAGGAACTTGCTAGCAGAAGTTGCGAGCCACTGCATAGTGAAACTTTATTATTCATTTCAGGATACTGAATACTTGTATTTGATCATGGAATATCTTCCTGGTGGTGATATGATGACTCTGCTGATGAGGGAGGATACCTTAACTGAGAATGTGGCTAAATTTTATATTGCTCAAAGTGTCTCGGCCATTGAGTCTATTCACAAACATAATTACATTCACAGGTTAATATTTTAGCTTTCCCTACTTTGTTGTTCATTTTGAAGCAGGGTGATGTGGTAATTTCTGTAAAAAAATTGTTACTAGGTTTACCCCATCTTATTTCTTCATATTTACTTTCTTTTCAGAGACATTAAACCCGACAACCTTCTCCTGGACAAAAGTGGCCACATGAAGTTATCAGATTTTGGCCTTTGTAAGCCTCTTGATTGTACAACTTTACCAGCAATTCATGAGAATAAGCCCATGGATGATGAAAATATGACAGAACCTATGGATATTGATGGATGTATTCCTGATGCTGACAATAAGAGCAGTTGGAGAAGCCCTCGTGAGCAGCTTCAGCATTGGCAGATGAACAGAAGAAAGTTGGTATGCATGCGATTTACTTCACAGCTGTATTATTTTAATGCATGTATTCTCACTGTTGACCAATATTAATGAATCTTAAAACTCAAAGAAAGACAAAAATTTTTCCTAAATTTCTCATTGAATGGATGCATAAGTAATAATGCAATCAGATTATGGTTTGAAAGAGATGGTTTGGTTGGCGACACAGTTTTTCCAGCAATTTTGGCTGTTATTTTTTATTTGTTTCACTTTAAAGGCATTTTCAACTGTGGGAACGCCTGATTACATAGCTCCTGAAGTTTTACTGAAGAAAGGATATGGCATGGAATGTGACTGGTTAGTTATATTTCTTTTCAATTCTCCTTCATTCTCATGGGTGCAACTGTTATCTATTACTTGTTCTCCATTTTGTTACTTTATATTCATTTATGAGGCATATCTGTTCTACTTTTCTAACTGTACGCTGTCTATTATCTTTTGTAGTAAAAACTTTGAATGTGGGAACTAACTAATTGCTGAAATTTTTGTTTACTTTCTATTGCATAGACACAGGTTTCTCTGTGAAGTTCTCATACCATAACCTAAATAATGCCACCTTTTCTATTGCACTTGTTTAGGTGGTCGCTAGGAGCAATAATGTATGAAATGCTAATCGGATACCCACCATTTTATTCTGATGATCCAATTACCACATGCAGGAAGGTAACACTCTTCTATCTAGGTTTATTTACTCAATTGTGTTGATCTTTGATGCATTATTATCTTTCTTCTTGTCTGTTCTCTCCAAATTAAGGATATTCCACCGAGCAACTTCTGCTTTCTATTTTGGGAAAGTATAATGTCAAATCTTTTCCTTTACAGATAGAGACTGATATTATTAAAGAATTCCAATGCGGTATAAAGCCTAATGTGTAACGCAACTTTATTATGCACTATTGTATTTAGTCCACAATTAAACATGCATCTACATCTAGTTATTCCAATTACGGCCAAATGCTTGCTTGTATAGCATAATTAGGTTGTTGGTGTCTTATTAGCACTATGCTTGATGTTGTTCTGTGAGCATTCTGAGACTGGGCCCCTTTTCCATTCAGCTTTTAGTTGAGTTTTTTCCGGAAAAGCTTTATAGTAATATCTATGCACCAGGATTGCTTTTGATTGTGTTATTTGTGCTGCATTATGTCTGTTGCTCTCCCCTACCCAACCCCACCCCCCCCCCCCCCCCGCCCAAAAAAAAAAAAAAAGTTTAACAAGAACATTTTCTCCATGGTAAACTTGATGGAGATGTAATTCTTTTTCCTGACATTTTGGTCATAAATTGCTGTCAGATTGTCCATTGGAGAAATCACCTAACATTTCCTGAAGATTCAAAGTTAAGTCATGAGGCAAAGGATCTCATATGTAGATTGCTATGCGATGTTGAGCACAGACTGGGTACTGGAGGGGCAAATCAGATTAAAGTAAGATTAATAGATTATGATATATTGAAATGTTATTCTTTTCTGCCAACTATCTCTTCTTCCTTATGGTTGTTGGCATTTAATTTTATCAGGCTCATCCTTGGTTCACGGACGTTGTGTGGGATAAACTCTATGAGATGGAGGCAGCATTTAAACCTGAAGTGAATGGGGAATTAGATACTCAAAATTTTATGAAGTTTGACGAAGTATAACTTGAAATTCCCCTTTTTTTTTTTTTGCTTATTCCAAATACTAATCACTTTCTTCACTATGTATTTGTCCATCTTGGTGAAATTAAAGATATCTTTTCCAGTAATCTAACTATTTTGGAATTGTCACCAGTTGGATCCTCCAGCACCAGCAAGAACTGGCTCGGGACCCTCGCGGAAGGTTTGTAACAAATGATGCTATCTGTACACTCATCTTAAGCATTAGTTTGTCCCAGTACTATCCAGCAGGTGTATATCATTTTATTTACACATTTTGTTAATTATATGGCAAGTTTGTGCTGTATTTTGTGATCTGAGAATGCTATGAGTATGCAATCATGGAACTTTATTCCTTTTCTTTTTTTTGTTCAAAAGATGGTAATTATGAAATAATTGATATCTTCTTTCAGTGATCTCTCTTCTGAAAAATTGTGTTAACACCTTCTAACAAAAACAAATGCATCAATTTTTGTCCATGATAATCAACATGTTTAGTTCATGTTACATTTATATCTTGATACGTTCATCCGTTAGTAGTACCTACTCAAACACAAATCTTGGTAGAATTTATTTATTTATTTATTTTCCCCACTTTATGCAGATGCTTTTAACACCCAAAGATTTAAGTTTTGTTGGCTATACATACAAGAACTTTGATGCTGTCAAAGGGCTACGCCATTCTTTTGGTATGCGATTTGTCACTGAGTTGTCAAGATATCAACCTTTTCTCTATTGATGCAGTATTTTCCGTTTCTTTTTTTTTTTTTTTTGGGTGCTTATAAGTGATAAATATCTATGTTTGGTTGTGAACATAGTTGCATTTTGTGCAGAAACAAAGTTTGCCTGTAGGTGATTGAAAGTTCGGGTTTATGTTAGACAAGTGAAGGGTGTTAGATTCAATTTTCTTGTCCTTATCAATGTTGCCTATAAGTTTGAATTTCTTGTTCATACACTTCTTATTCTTCTCATGAGCAAGTACTTGCTGTGAAATTAGAGGTTTAAATGGATGCTACTAACACTACAGACGTAAAGAATGCCATGATGAACCTTGATTTGTTTGCACCTTTACTTCTACCTTTCCCTTTGGAAGGATTGGTGTGCTAATGATTTAGGTAGTCAAGTTGCTACTCCCATTTTGAATCTGTCTAAAGAATGATAGGAAGTCACAGATTTGATAAATAGATCTTAGTGTCTTTGATACAACTACTTGACAGCCTTTAACATCTCAAGCTCAAGCCCAAGCCCAAGAAGAGGTTGTATAGATAAGGAATTAGACTTAGCCCAGGGATGACAATGTGATTGGAGCTTGGATGCAGAACCAATCAATGATATTTGAGCCCAATCATGAGTAACCCAATAACGTGGACCACCTACAAGAGATTATTGGGATGTGGTGAATCCATGTTGCCCATATTAACCGTTGCTAGTTCATAAACTTTGGTATAATTCTCTCAAGAGAATGGTTTTGATGTAGTATTTCACAGAGGCAAATATAGATTTGGGTCTGAACTTTATAGGTGTAATGCTGTGAACTGGAATGGTTTAAATTTCCAGCAGAACGTGAGTGGTTGTGAAACTAGGGCAATTAGGTAAGTCTGCAAGATTAACCAGTCCAATGAAAAACATGAAAACCACATTCCTACAGTAATAGAATCACCTTAAATGCTAGAATTTGTTGACAGAATTCAATTTGTGGAGTCAATAAGGAAAAAAAAAAACTTTATTTTTGATAATTTTTAGATTGTCAATGTGAACAAGCATATAATAGGGAAGAAATTTGACATCCCCTTACTAAACTATTTTACTTGTGCAGATTTCAAAAATCCATCAATGGAACAACCATCCATTGATTCTATATATGGTAACGGATCTTTCTCTTTCTTCTACTCTTTTTTTTTCATTTTCAACATCCTACCACTATAGTAATTTTCCTTCTTCATTATTGATTAGATTAAGTTTGTTAATATCCGCAGCTGATTCAGGAGTAGGTTATTCTACTAAGCGATCAGCTGAGGAAACAGAGTTGCAGATGTTTGCATCAGCAGGTGATCCCATGTTACCATAAAGTAACTCGAGGAAAAACCTCTTACATGGATATATGGATATTTATGCTTTGTTTTAAGTTAGGCAATCCTCCAACATCTGCAGTTCTAGTGCAGTGGCTGCCATCCAACTTGTGGAACCGCTTTGTTAAGTGTACAGAAGTATTTAAGCAAAATTTTAAAATCCAGTTGTGAGTTGACTGGTAGGACAAGTGAGACTCCTTTTCAGCCTAAAAGGCTTTGTGTATTACAAGTTAGATCAGAGTTCTGAAACTTGATGCCCTGGCTGCCCAGGTTGGCTGTGGTAAATTTGCCTTCTCTAGTGGCAGTTTCTGGTCAAATTTTTAATTGATAGCAATGATCCCCCTATTGTTGTGTGTAAAATGTTATTAGCAAAAACTGGAATTTATCTGTGAGGAAATGACATTGAAGTACTCCTCCTATTTTTTGTTGTATGATTGCATTTTTGAAGTTTGTCTACCTCTGAAAACTGTTTTGTCATTGAACAATTTTAAGCAATCCTCCCTCGTAACTTTCCTTGGCTACTCATGCAATTACCAAGTGCTATGTGCTATTCCATCAAAGGAAACAACTACTGAAAATTGCTGCTTGACCGTTAAAACCACGAAGGTTCTGAGTCAGTCCTTGAAGATTGACACTTGTGATTTTGGTCCAAGGAAATGATGATCCAAAGGAATAACATTGAATCCATGAAAAATAAAAAAACGAAGAGGTTTCGTGCCTAACAGAAAGTCCATTGCCATTGACGAAACTGGAAAATGAAATTTGTAGATTTTTTAGTGAGAACAACGGCGAAAAACGGGAAGGTCAAGGTTGGCTTTCAGGGGTGGCTTTTTCGAATCTCCCCGCTACCAGTCTTCCCAAGTGATTCTAAACCAAATAAATGTTTTGAAAAAAAAAAAAAAAAAAACATCGTTTTGAAACACTCAGACAAAAAAAAAACCACAACTAACAGCCCTTCTATGAATAGAAAGTAAGGTAAATATCTTTGTCGTCGAACTCATTTGATTTGTTTTGTCGTGTCTCATTTCCCGGATGTTAAAAGCTCCTTGCTTGAAACAAGAATAAAGAGAGAGGGAAAAGGAGATTCTACCTACAGTTGACAAAAATGAGGTTGTTGTCATTCTTTTTGTTTTTAAAGTTTCTATATTTACTTTCCTTTTCATGATTATAATTGTAGCCAATTATTTGACAGAGAGAGAGAGAGGGAGGGACTAGGGTGGGGGGTGGGGTGGGGGGAGAGCAAAAAATTACAAGAGGCTGAGAACGGTTGCCTCAGATCCAGGGATCTCTTTAAACGATATCTGAAAAGAGTACTATTCTTTTTATGGTTTCCCTGTGATTCTTGGGACATCACCTTTCTTGAGTTCTTTCTCATGACCCTTCTTTTCTCTCCTTTCCAAGTCTTTCTTTTTGTGTTTGAGGATAAAGGGGTGGTTTCAAATTTGATCTAATTGCGGTTTTCTTCAAGTTTTATTATTATTGGTTGGTGTGGATATTAAGTTGTTTCTCTGGTTCTTTCTGTCTTAAGTGTAGTTGATGGTGGTAGATAAAGAAGAGTCCAGAGAAGAAGCTGAAAAAGGCATAATCAAGTTTTAAAGCAACTCTTTTTGGGTAGTAATTTCCACAAAGGGAAGTTTGGATCCACTTGTAGTTGACCAGATCTGACTAACTCACTTTCCCTTTCACCACCTTTTTGGCTCACCCATAAGTTGCATTCCCTGAACCTTTTATCATTTTCTTGGACACCTTGAGTTATTTAAGGCATGGGAAATGGCCTGTTAAAGCCCACCGTTGACATTCCATTGTCATTCTTTATTTCAGAAGATGATAGTTTTGTTGAAAAATGACAGTTTTTGTTGAAAAATGACAGGCTGTGTGATTTTCGAGGGTTTGGAGGGTAATTTTTTGTACTGCCTAGATAGGGAATTTGATGGAGATGTCTACGACGTTTGTGGTGCCATTTAGATTAGGTAATTCAGTCTGTGAAAACTCTACCTTTGCTACCCGTATGGACATCACAAGACTTAAGCATATGGCAAATCCTGCTGGTATTTTGACGGATTCTGCAACCAAGGCTACTAACAAGTCAGTTGTTGATGAGGATGTGGATTTTAACTGTGATGATACGGAGACTGAAGAAAGTAGCATAGAGTTGCCACTGATAGAAGAGGTCAAGGGAGAAGGAGCTACCTCATTGGATGTGATATCTGATTGTAAAGTTTGTTGGATTGCTAGTAATGATGTTATAGCCCAAGAAAGTGAGGAGGAGGATTCTTTCTCTTTGGAAGGTGATCATGTTCTTGATCTTGATAGCTGTTGTTCACTATCGGTGGCAAGTGAGACTAGTAGCCTTTATGGAGATGATTTCCTGGGTTTTGATTCTACTTCTGAGGTAGGAACACCAAGTTCTGTGGACAACGAGAAAAACATTTGCAGTGTAGATATTATTGCGAAGGCTACCAAGTTTGTGGATTTAAACGTTGAAACAAAGGTTGCAAGTGATCCCATAAGTGTGGCAGTAAGCATTGAGGAAGAGATTGGAGATGGGTCTGAACAAAAGCTAACTTCAGTGGTTCTTCAACTGGCTCTTGAAAAGGATCCAAGTACAACAGTTCCAGTTCCACGCAGTGTGTTTGAGGTGGAATATGTGCCTCTTTGGGGATTTACCTCTATATGCGGAAGGAGACCTGAGATGGAAGATGCAGTTGCTGCTGTACCTCGATTTTTAAAGGTTCCAATTCAGATGCTGATCGGTGATCGGGTACTTGATGGCATGAGCAGGGGCTTTGCTCGTAAGACTGCTCACTTCTTTGGGGTCTATGATGGTCATGGAGGCTCACAGGTTAGTTTTGCAATTTCCTTTATATCTTTCGTGTTTAGCTTTATTTCCTTTCCTTTAAATCATGCATGAGATGTCATGAAAATAAATTTCTTTCTTGGTATTTGCTGCTCTACAGGTTGCTAACTACTGTAGTGCTCGTATTCACTCTGCAATGGCTGAGGAAATAGAGTTTGTTAAGGAGCGCCTGAGTAATGAAAGCATAACAGAAAGCTGTCAAGAGCTGTGGAACAAGGCATTCACAAATTGTTTTGTTAAGGTTGATGCTGAGGTCGGAGGACAAGCTAGTCAAGAACCTGTTGCCCCAGAAACAGTTGGTTCTACTGCTGTTGTTGCCCTTATTTGTTCTTCTCATATTATTGTAGCAAACTGTGGAGATTCAAGAGCTGTTCTATGTCGTGGGAAAGAGGCCATGGCTTTGTCTGTGGATCATAAAGTAAGGAATTGCGAATTATACATTTATATCTTCTTGTATTTCTTCGTCAACTGTTGCAAACCTATACCCTTTTTTTTATTCTATTCATATTTCTTAGCCAAATCGAGAAGATGAATATGAAAGGATTGAAGCAGCTGGAGGAAAGGTTATCCAATGGAATGGGCATCGAGTTTTTGGCGTTCTTGCAATGTCAAGGTCCATTGGTATGTCTTCAGTCATAATGAATTTTTTTTTCAAGAATTGAACTCTTTTCTTTTCTCATTTTATGTTTTTGATTTTTTTTTCAAACCATAATTTAGAAAAGAGAAAGAGGGGGTGGGGTGGGAGAAAATGTTTACTTATGTCTTGTGAAGTTAGTCATTATCAAGTTGTAAGTTGTTGCTCACATATGTTACAAACCAGAATAGAAGATATATCTCCCGTGAGACAGGATTACATAGTGTGCCCATGTGCCTCATTTGGGACATTAGCTTTAGGATCTGTGCATAATGATGTTTCAGAATTGGTTGGATTTGGCACAGTTCTGCATAATTAACGATTGAAATGTGTTAATGAGGAGTGCCAAGGTAGTAATTCAAAATCTGTTACATTTTGCTTTAATTTTTTACTCTAGCTTCCAGCATGAAGTTCCTAAGGCTGTGTCTAATGTCAAAGTCTTGACTTATTTATTACTGTGGTCTATGCAGTATCCATTTGAAGCCTTATTGAACTCTATGGAGAACTTTCTCTCTTTTATGTTCATAAACTGTTCTAAAGGTGCAGCTATTCTTTAACTTGGCCCAACAGAATTATTACCCTTGAAAGAAGACTGGTGAATGTTAGCGAGATCAATGGATTAAAATATCCATGCATTTGCTTTTCTTTTGATTGAAGTTTGCATGATAAAACAATGTGTCCTGACTGATATAGAAGTCACATTTGGAGTATTAAAACTGCATGGTCATAAACATTGCAAGCTGGGAACTGACAGTGTGGCATTTGTTGTCATTTTTCTTTTCTAGCAATGGTGTCTCATGTCTGTAATCCTAAGAAGACTCCTGTTGTCTTCTAATAGTATTTAAAGAATCCTGCTTTGCTCTCAGTTTCCAATTGGATGTTCAATCCTCGGAGTGATACTTTTAAATAATAAATTGACGTCAATCTTATATGATTTTAGTTAGTTTGAATTAACTTCGAATTATGCTATTACTGCTGTCGTTTTTCTCCAAAGCATGCATCAGTTAGCTATTTCCTTTTGGCGACTATCTTGTGCGACCATTCTGATAGTTTCTTAGGTGCTTCTTTCATGAAGCCATGCAGGTAATAGAATATAAACTCCTCTTGTCAGGTCACAAACTTGTAATGCACCTGATTGCAGGTGTTTTCAATGTTGATATGGACATTTAAGTGTAATTGGTTGATGCTTGTCAATGTTGTCATAACTAATCATCAACAATATGGCCTGTCAGAATAATTGAAAAATGGGAATGTCCATTCTTGCTGTTTCAGGTGATAGATATTTGAAGCCGTGGATCATTCCAGAGCCAGAAGTAATGTTTGTCCCAAGAGTAAAAGAAGATGAATGCCTTATTTTGGCCAGCGATGGTCTATGGGATGTTATGACGAATGAAGAAGCATGTGACATGGCTCGGAGACGAATACTTCAATGGCACAAAAAGAACAGTTCTACGCTGACTTCAGAAAGGGGTGAGACAATTGATCCTGCTGCTCAAGCTGCAGCAGAATACCTTTCAAACCGAGCTCTCCAAAAAGGAAGCAAGGACAACATCACAGTACTAGTGGTGGATCTGAAAGCTCAGAGGAAGTTCAAGAGTAAGACATGATGGTTTCTCAACCATACTTGGGTCTTCAACCTTGCTGTATGACATGGTTTCATATGGTTCAATATAGTTTTCCCCACTTGTTCTTCATGGGAGCTCTATGGTTTTATATGTTAGTATTAGTCCGTATGCACCATTCTATTACCTCTCTCCATTGTTTCAACTTTCAGGAATTTTAATGGGTAAACCATGCCAAGTTCTGGCTATTGTAAATCTTAGCTGTGCCGTAGGAAATAGGAGATTATGTGAGTTCCATGCTTTCGACATTGTGGGAAATTGTGGTCATTGTGCCTCCGAGTTAAAAACCACTCTGAGAGGTATTTGTTTTGTATTATTTCAACCGCATGGTGCTTATGACGACTAGCATTCTTGACCTTTTCATTGGATAGCTATCCATTGATGGCTTCTGACGAGATGATTCTAGTTGTAGCACAATAAGCCGGCCAATGCTTATGGTTTTAGAAGCGTGATTATTTTTGGCCATGTAAGGTGCTTCCTTTCTCATAGTGCATGACGTGTGGAATATGGGTTTCAATGTTTATCACATTGCCCGACTTCAAATCTTGAAATGCAATCACCCCACCAGGTCCATTACTATCAGATAAACACTGGTTTGTTTAGATTACTCAAAGAAGCATGATAAGTTCTTCAAGCATCTTTAATCTTTGCTCGGGCCCCTTGATTTACTTTGTTCTTCTAATCCGGCATTGTCGCTGATTGAAAACAGAATATGTTTTGATTTAGCTTTTTTTTTTTTTTTCTTTTTCACTGTTTGAAATTTGGGAAATGTTTTACAGTTATGACATTAAAAGAAAAAAAGCAAAAACTATAAGGAAAAGGAAAATAAGTTATTTTAACAAACTTTACTTACTACCGTTCATATATGAATGAACTGACGTTACCAAAAGACATTAGAGAATAACTAGTAATAACTGACGCCCCCCATGCGTTATTATTAGTAGGGTAATTATTATTCATGACTCTAGTTTTAAAACCGAAATAGGCCAAGGAAAAGAGAGTGAAAAAAGATTAGTATTAGTATTTCCTGAGAGCCAAGTCCTGCACCGCCTCCTCCAGATTTTTCTCGTTCTTAATGCTCTGAACCCAATTGGCATTAATGTGGATCCGCTCAAGGCTCTGCTTCAAGGTTCTTGCAATCGAAGCGTTTGTTCGGCTAGCAAAGAACTCCTCTACCTCCTTCACTTTCTCGACTGAAGCAAACTGTGTACAAGGGCGAATAATTAAAAAAGAAAATCATATTTATAATAACATACATCTGCAGAGAAGGGTAAAATTAAGCACTGAAACAGGAAGCATATAACAGAGAAAAACCAAATTATTATGAAGTTACAGAGTAAAAGGGCAGGGCACAAACCAGTGAGACAATTGCACTGATAAAGCGTGTTGTCAGGTATCCTTTACCATAAGTTTTTTCGATGAGATCCCAGTTATCCTGTATTCCGAAAGATTGGTTATTCATCAGCATTACAAGTTCCAAAACCGCCAAGACTACGACACCCTTTTCCACAACCCCAGTCCATACCCCTCGCACTTGTCCAAGAAAGACATTCCCTGGTTGTTAGTATTACCTTGAGCCATGTCCAGGCAACTTCACGTCCTTCCTTGCTAACAGCTAGTCCATGCACAGCATCTTGGCTGCGAACCTGAACAAAGAAGGAAAATGTTGTTGAGAACATCAGATTTCAGAGTAGTTAGTTTATCAAGATAAATGGTCGCTTTTCAACCAACAGTTTAGAATACCTCGGAAGACAACGCATAGTTTAGAACTTCAAGAACTATATCCTGATCCGGACATGATGGCAATGAACCTACAAAAAACCAAGTAATATGATTGTCAAAGTCATAGACTCAACCATCTGCATCACAATGGCAAGGATTTTTCCGTACCTAAAATGCGGATTTTCTCCTGGCTTAGATCAGTCTCTCTATAAACTGTCAAAAGAGACTCAAAACCTGCTCTGTTAAAGGAGTTGACCTTCTGCATTACAGCTACATATGCTGCCTGAAACCATATAAACAGTTGACAAGTGGGTAAAAAGGGGGACAATTGTCTCAACTAATCCTTCACAGTCAACAACCTTTCTTATGTCAGGAGGGAGGAGTGGTGTGTTTCTGTCATTCAAGAATGCATGAAATCGCCTAGTTGCTTCAGTCAGCGTCTCCTCGTGCCCAAGCATAGCAAGTGCAGTCAAAATTTCTCCTCTCAACATTGCATCCAGATGACTCTCACCTTGTTTCGCTTCCCAACCAAGCTTCCTGTAAGAAATCAAAACACGAAAAACAATGTCAAAGCAAGAATCCCATCTCCCTTAATTTATGTTTCAGAGTGCTATCTATTTGGGTCAAAAGATGTAAAACAACTAGGCTTCCATTTGCTCATGAAGAACAAAAAGAATCCTTTCTCCCTTGAAGCTTTATATACTGGTGAAAAGATGTAATAAGACCAAGTTTCCATTTACTTATGAAGATTAAAAAGACAATTTACAAGCTCAAGCACCTAAACTGGTAGGTAACATTGTTTCGCTCTTTTTTTAGATTAAGAATTGGATTAAATAAAATGGACGATAGCTTCTCAATCGGTTTTCAAAAAGTTTTCATATGTGTTGCTACAATCCAATCAGATTTAACATATCTTGAAATCATCATTAATCCACCATGCCAAACAGTAACCCATATTGGCAGGACACGTTCAACTACATTTAAGATAACTTACTCAGCAGAATATTGGAAAAGGCTAACAAAAAATTGATTCATGTCATCCATTAGTTCAGGTCTTGCATCAGCCGCAATTCTCACAACATTATATGTTATCTGTGATAAGCAAAAGCCAGAATCAAGACTCAAAGCATAATTGAAGTAAATTTAGACAAGATAAGAACATTACATTAATCAAGTTAGACAGAACAGTATACTCAAGTTCCTCATCATAGGCACCCATCAAGGTAAGCAAGGAGGTCAAAGGCAGCTGGCGTGCCTTACAAAGTGCAAATGAATCATCAAGAATGCCTGCAAAAGAAAGAAGTAATGCTTACTTATCCTTTTACCATTCTGGAACAATATAAAATCTAACGAAAATATTCAAATTACCAAATCTGTCAGTTGCAGTCAAGTATTTGTTTTCTATTGCATGTTCGAGTCTAGCTGCAAGTTCCTCGTCATATTTCACCCTATAGAAACCAGTCTGATCCACATTAAGCTTTATCCAAGAATGTGCCATACCACTTTTATTGCTGTCAGAAAAGAACTCCTTTACATCATGAGTTTCGGACTTTGTTTGCAACAAGAAAGTTTTCTTCTTCTCATATGACCCACAACAAAATGTTATTGGGACAATCCACTGCCCATCCCCATGGGAACCACTAGAGAGGAATTGTGACTGCCATTCATCGTATCAATTGTTAAAGCACTAACTTCAAGAATAACAACAGAAAAACCCATCTTCCCCCACCCAATCCACCCAACCAAAAAGAATCAAACATGATTAAACCTGCTCAAATTCCAACTTCTGATCTTTGACTTTGACAGAGACAACTGGATACCCCTTCTGCTTTGTCCATGTATTCATTAGTTTGTTCACCGGTTTACCAGATCCCTCATCAAGGGCAGCCCATAAGTCTTCTGTCTTCGCATTTGAGCATGCATGTTTTTTTATATACGAAGCAAGTGACCTCTGATTTTAGGAATATTTCACATGTAAATAAATCAATTTATCCTTTGAGTTTAAGATATTAAAAGAAGAATGGTAGTAATTTAATTTCATAAATGCAATGAAGAAGATTGGTGTAAAAATATGGCATCAGAAGCATTTAAGAAATAAATAAATACAAAGTAACCTTCCATCATTAGTTTTCCTTCACTGTTTTCAGCAGAAATACTTACTAGCAAGAAAATCTTAATATTTGGAAGATTCCAAAGACGCATGTAAAACAAAAACAATCACATGCAAAAAAATTACCATAATCATTAGGAGATCAACTGATACACAAATCATAATGCATGTAACAAACCAGACCAACCTGAAAGCATTCAGCACCTAAATAGCTTTGGAGCATGCGGATAACTGATGCACCTTTTTTGTAGCTTATAGCATCAAAAATTTCTTCAATTTCAGCAGCATGATTTATTTCCACCTGCAAAGTAAAATATTTTAAATATCAAATATTTTAGAAACAATCAGTCATACCTCTAACGTAGAGAAAATAACCTTAATATCCATTTACCTCAATTGGGTGGGATTCTGCAAGCCCATCCAACCTAAGACCTTCAGTAGATTCACCAAGAAACTGAGTCCATATTTTCCATTCTGGAAACAAGCTATCAGTTGCCAAGTAGCTCATCTGAAATGCATAATCATTAGAAATACAGTTTCCAGCACATGCAGGTAAATAGTCAATAGATATTGACACAAAAAAAAAAAGTGCCTTACCCATGTTGCAAAACCCTCATTCAGCCACAAATGTGTCCACCATTCCATTGTCACAAGATTACCAAACCACTGGTGTGCCAATTCATGGGCCACCACAGTTGCAACCTTGACAGCAACCAAGTAGTATTGTTGAACATTTTGTCTGATGCAGGATAAAATAATCTGATAAAGACACCATATAGTTTACAAAGATTACCCTCTGCTTATTGGCAGCTGCAGAATGCTGCTCGTCATAGAGCAAAGCCGTTTCACGGTATGTAACTAAGCCATAGTTCTCCATTGCCCCAAAAGCAAAATCAGGAATAGCAATCATATCCAATTTAGGAAGAGCGTAGGGCACAGCAAAATACCTGTAGAAGTTAGCCGGATTAATTTGGGACTAACTTCCAGAAAATAGATCTTAAGCAATAAGCATCCACATGAAAGAACATTGCCAGTTTGTATCATCAAAGACATAAAATGTGGGGATAACAATCAACACAGAATGAGAAAATATACCCTTTGTACAACTCAAGCGTCTGTACAGCAACATTTAGAGCAAAGTTCCCTTGATTTGCCTTCCCAACTTGGCAGTATACTCGAACTTTAATCCCTGTCCAGAGATACAGAGAAGAATATTGAGGCAACAAGTAATAGAGTATGAGTACTCTGTCAAAATAAGAAAAAAGCATAGTGTATGACTTCACTGTCAACATAAGATATAAATGATAGTCTGATCATACCATCTGATGTGTGATTTTCCACATAATTGAACAAACCAACAACAACAGCCACCAAATAAGTTGACATGATTGGTGATTCTTGATAAGAAACAGTTTTTAGAGGCCCATTCACTTTCTCCTCAAGGGCTGGCATGTTTGAGAGGGCCACTAGTTCAGATGGCACATCTAACGTGATCTTAAAAGTTGCCTATAAGACAGGTTTTATCATAGAAAAAAGTGATATCAAGGCTAAACAACTAATAAACTCAAGCTTTTAGGATAGCTAAAACAATAACCTTGCAAGCAGGTTCATCCCAACATGGAAAGCATCGCCTAGCATTAGCCGGCTCAAACTGTGTAACTGCCATATTCTTCTTCTCACCATTTTGCTCGTATGTACTGAATTTCAAAATATCATTAACCAGATAAATTACCCTCCTCTTTTTTCTTTTCCATCTAAAGTAACTATATAAGCATGAAATCAGTACCTTCTATAAAACCCTTTCATTCTGTCATTTAACACTCCTTCAAATCCAATAGCCAAAACTCCTAGTCCCAGAGGAAGTGTCTCAGCAAATTCTAATACCAAAATCTCATCCTCTTCCACTGATTCTACTTTCGATGCCTCAAATACCTGCTTAACAATCAGTAACATCCACAAAAAATAACCTAAGTAAGATGGAAATGTTTCAATGAAAAGCTGTGAAGTAGTTAAATATCGCTTCCGAACTAACGAAAACGAAAGAAAAAAAGAAACTTTGTTGAGATGGAGGTGACCTTGGAGGAGCTACGAGGGGAGAAGGAGACGGAGCCCGGGTTGATGGAGAGTTCGGCGGCATTCAGGACGATGAAGCGAGTGTCGTCGACGATGTCGATGTCGATTGAGACGGAGCCGGCAAAGTTGCAGGCGGAGAGGTCTGGCTTCAGCCGGAGATCGTAGCGCTTGGGGATGGCGAATTTCGGAAGACGAGGTTGCCCCTTGAATTGCTCCATTTTTTTTTTTTTTCAAGAGTTGAGTCCAGGCTATTTAGCGAGGGAGTTGATTGGAAAGGTTGGGAGAAGAGGAGGGGGATTTACATAGCATGCTCTGCAATGGCGGGAGTGTTGCAAAGTTAAACGACAGCGTTTGTTATCTTTGAAAAAAAAAAAAAGTTAATTCGTGTGAATGGAATTTTTTTATTATTATTATTGATGTTAACATCAACAAGCCAAGCTAATCAACTCGATCTTAGAATTTATTCTAGAGAATTTTTTTTAAGTTATAATTATTATCAAATACTATTATATTTATATAATTAATTATAATATATAATTAAATTATGATAATTAAATAATTAATTAATTAATTATAATATAATTAAAAATTAAATTCACACACAATAAAATTTAAACTTAAAACTTTAAAATTATAAAATTTTATTCTTATAATCTAATTGAACTAAAATCTTGTTAGCAAAAATATATAATTTTTATTTTGTAAAAGAAATATATTATATGACGTTTTGCATATTCATATAACATAAAATATTAAAATTTATATATTTATATAATATTTTATATAAAAATTATATATTATAATTCGTACTGATATAAAAATATAAAATATAATTTTTATTTTATTAAATTTATATATAATAATTATTAAAATTTTAAAATTTATTATTTTTATATTTTATATTTATATAATATTTATATCATATTATTATACTATATTTTAAATTATATGATTTAGATGTTATATTCTTTTATATTATTTACCGTTGTTTATGCTCCTTAATTTTACTTTATTCTTCCACATCATTAAGACCTCTTTCCAATTACCATTAAGCCAAAATCTTGATAGTAAGAGAATATATTTTTTACTTTGGGAAAGAAGGATGCCATATTCCTTTACATTATTTACCGTTGTTTGTGCTCCTTAATTTTACTTTATTCTTTCTTTTCAAAATGCGTTGATTAAGACCTCGTAAAATAAATTTAACGTTGGAAGTGATTTTTATCAAAAGAAAATCAAATTTTTTCGTACTAACTAATCTGACGGTAAGAGAACCCATTCTATAGATAATAGCATGAGGTCTGCAACACCGTATACTTTCAGTTTCACCGACTAATCACAGTACAAGCGGTTGATACAAAGACAAAAACATTAACTTTTTCAACTTTTGTCCCGTGAGAATTTTCCGGGAAAATATAGAGAAAAAAAAAAAAAATTGACGGTCCCAAGAAAGTCGCAACTAAACCAATAACTTCCTTTGTCATTTTTCAATTTCTTTCAATGGCGAGTTCATTATTCTTGATTGTTTGTTGTTACTTTTTGGTAGTCAAAATCTAAGCCACTGAAGTCGGACAAGGTTTTGGTTTTACTGTTTCATATGACAGGAACAAGGAATCAGATTTAAAGTAAGTAACTTTTAATTTACTTTGATTAATTCCTTTCTGGGTTTCAATGATTTGATTTGTAATTCTTTTTTTTTTCTTAATCCTTTGTGGTGCTTGACTTAGTCATTCAACTGGGTTTTTGAAGATATCTGGAGAAACTGAAATTCTTAAGGATATCTGTTATACTTGCTCAAAGTTTGTAACTGTCTTTTTGGAATGGAGAAAATGAACTCCAAAATAGAGGATGATAAGAATAATGTTGGTAGTGATTCTAATAATGGTCAGATGTTGCGTGACATTGAGGAAATAAGTAAAGCCCTTTACTTGAATAACCCCTCACCAAAAGCTTTGATTTCCACATCCAATGTTAGATCTAAGTCTGCTGGAAAAACCCATCTTTCAGAATCAAAATCGAAGCAGAACTCTAGAAACCTCTATGAAGATGTGATGCAGAAGGATAAGAAATCATCTTCATTGTGGAATTGGAAGAAGCCCTTAAAAGCATTAACTCATATTAGAAATCATCGATTTGATATTTGTTTCTTTCTCCATGTGCATTCTATTGAAGGCTTGCCTGCCTATTTAAATGACTTTAGCTTATGCGTGCATTGGAAGAGGAAGGATGAGGTGTTGTCTACTCGTGCAACGAGGGTTGTCGATGGAATTGCTGAATTTGAAGAGACGTTAATGCATAAATGTTGTGTGTATGGTAGTAGAAGTGGGCCTCATAATTCAGCAAATTATGAGGTCAAGCTCTTCCTTATCTATGCTTCTGTTGTTGGCGTTCTGGGACATGATATAGGGGAGCACTGGATTGATCTCACAAGGCTGTTACCACTTACTTTGGAGGATTTAGAAGGGGAGAAAGGCTCAAGTAAATGGACAACAAGCTTTAAACTTTCTGGCAAGGCTAAGGGTGCTTCTCTTAATGTCAGTTTCAGTTTCTTGGTAAATAGGGACAATTTAGTTGATTCAAGTGGCAGAATGACTGCGTCAAATTTTATAAATCTCCCAGAGAAGGGTTCAAGTGCAATGGGACACGCTGGAGGTCTTCATGCAAGCAAGGGGAATGGGATGCTTGAGCATGTTGGGACTGTTCCAAGTACTGTAAACCGCAGGTCTAATCTGTCATCTCTGTCTGTTGATGTAAAGTTTGGTACTGAAATATTGCCAAATTTGGGACTGGAACTTTCCAAATCAATAAGTTGTTTATATCAGAAACTTAATGAAGGGAACTTACACAGTTTGTCAGGCTTAGATAAATTTTCTGAACATGTGGAGCCACTCAAACCTAATTCTGAATCTGCTAAAGTTATAGATGGGTATGAAAACATTGAGTTTTTTGTTACTGAACAGGGTGTAGAAATGTGTCAGAAAGATCCATCTAATCCTGAACAAAGTGCTATCCAGACTATTGATGGTTTTGCCATTGAAACTATCAATGTGGATGAGATCCTTAAAGATTGTGAAACAGATGCTGATGGGGAGGCAGGACATGTTTTAAAAGTCCACAGTTCCAGTAGTTGCATGGAGGAGGTTATGGTAGATGACTGCATGCAAGAAAAGAGTAATTTATGTTCCAAACCATTGACTGTGCAAGAGCTGGAGTCAGCTTTTCATGACATATTGATTATACAATCATCAGTATCAGAATCTACATCTGGTTTGGACGAGTTTATTGAGCATGAAAAGTATATGGATGTTAAATCAGATTACAAGTCTAGCAAATTGACAAAGAAATCACTAAGTTTGGATGACTTTGCTGACACTGTGGCTAGTGATTTCTTAAAGATGCTGGAAATTGAATATGATCCATTTAGCTTGAATTCTGATGATGCTCTTGAATCTCCTAGAGAGCGTCTGTTGAGAGAGTTTGAAAATGAAGCTCTAGCTTCTGGTGGCTTCATCCTAGACTATGATGCAGGGGGAGAGGAAGAAATTGGTTCCACCACTCCTGGTCCTTGCTGTGGGGATAGTTATGAAGATTTTGCTTTCTCTTCAGTTTTACTGCCCAGCAAAGAGGAGAAGATTGAAAGTCAGTCACTGAAAAATGGAAGGAAGATCAAAATGCTCGAAAACTTGGAGACTGAAGCTTTGATGCGTGAGTGGGGCCTAGATGAGAAGGCATTTCAAAGTTCTCCGCTTGTTCAAACCGACGGATTTGGAAGTCCAATTGCACTTCCACCAGAACAAGGTGAACTACCTCCACTCGGAGATGGCTTTGGACATTTCATTCCGACAAAGGATGGAGGTGTTCTGCGATCTATGAATCCCTCACTTTTTAGAAATTGTAAAAATGTTGGGCACTTGGTCATGCAAGTATCTAGGGCAGCTGTGTTTCCTGCAGCATTGGGTACTGATATTATGGAGATATTACAAAACTTGGCTTCACTTGGAACTGAGAACCTGTCCTTGCAGGTAAGTAAATTAATGCCTTTGGAGGATATTACTGGGAAAACATTGCAACAAATTGCACTGGGAGCTGCACCTAGCGCTGTTGTGCCAAAGAGGTATGTAATCATGTCAATTGGATGAATTTATGCAGTTGTCTCATCTTCAGCTTCTCGATTTCTTTCCTTTTTTTTTCTTTAATTTTTCTATTTTGTCCCTCTTTTATTTCTTGATATGGCTATCTAATTAACTCAAAATCATTATTTGACAGGAGTATCAATTTGCAGCAAGAATCACTAAGTGAGCATGATTCATTTGATCAGAGAAAGGAAGTTGAAGGATTTCAATTTTGCTGGAGTTATGATAATCTGAGCTCAGGCCTCATAGGTGATGAGATGGGCCCCAGGTTGTGTGTCTCTAGAAAACCTTGCTCCATCTGCCATGAATAGGATTGAAGCCCTGGCGATAGAGGGTCTGAGAATTCAATGTGGCATGTCAGATGAGGATGCTCCATTAAGCATGAGTCCTTTTTCATCTAGCAATACGTCACTTATTACAGGGAAGGATTCGAATTTTGGTAAGTTTCTCAGTTTGGAGGGAGCTGCAGGTTCATGGTCTCTGGATTTCAGAGACAATGTTGATTATGTTAATAGATTAATGTGCCTTTCTATAACATTGGATGAGTGGTCACGGCTCGACACTGGAATTATTGGTGATGGAGACCATATTAGTGACCAGACAATCCAGATCCTTGAGGCTCATAAAGCCAAGTGCATTGATTTGGCTAGTGGAATATTGGCACAACATGTTAACTTGGGTGAAGCATCTGGTAGAAAGCATGGGTTGTTGGGGAACAACTTTACACTAGCTGTCATGTTGTTGCTTAGAGATCCCCTTCGAAACTATGAACCAGTTGGCACTTCAATGATTGCTTTAATTCAAGTGGAGAGGGCTTCTGTCCCTCTAGAGCAACGAATCTATAGCACAGTGCCGGAAGGAAATAACGAAGAGAACCCTGAATCAGAGGCGGAGGAAAAAGAAGAATGTACTCCATTTTTCAAAATCACTGAGGTCCATCTTGCAGGGTTAAATACTGATTCCGATAAGAGGCATATTTGGGGTACCAAAGCACAACAACAGTTTGGAACCCGCTGGTTGCTTGCTAGTGGCATGGCTAACTCCAATAAGAATACATTTTCAAAGTCAAAGGCCATTGTAAGATTCAACCCACCGGTGATGAGAAAGATGCAGGCTGGGAATTTTCTTTGGAGTTTAACCTCTAATGTTCATGAAGAAGGAACTAGTTGGAATGAATTGGCCGATTTGGGTCCACATTCTCGAAACCCTAATATCATTTTTTCAAATTAAAGTGTCAAACTTGTTGTAGATTGCAGTTTTTGACTACTCATTCTGAAAATGTCTTTATTTGTGAAGTTAACAGAGTGTAGGCATTTTCTTTATTCCTGAATGTGTCAACTTTTCTACAGCCAAAGTTGTCAAAATTGTACAGCTCAATAGGAATCTATTTTGTAGTTGCATATCCATTTCACATGTAATCAACTCAAGTCCAATTGATAAATGAAGCATGTAGCTAAAGTTTTCTGTGTTCTCTTGAAATTGTTTGTTTATGCTGCAGTCACATGCCCACCACACGTCTAGAATAATATTGATGATATCAGTTGTAATTAGAGATATCATATCAAGTGGTCTTTATCTTTTAATAGACATGCCACGGGCATGGGATGCGGTGAAATTTTATTGAATACTTGCCAGCGGCAGCTATATGTCTATTTCTCTTTATTCCAGGACTGTCCTAGCATTGATGGATGCTCACGTTCCGTTCTTCAAAGTGGAAATCAGGATTTTCTTGCAAAATTATCAAAAAAGAGAACAAAACGAAGTTGCTGACAGGAAAATTTATGGAGCTTGCCCATGTTTCATCTTTCCCTGTCTTTTTGAATTTAATTTTGAGAACCAACTCCTATCAATGATGGTTCCATCTAGTCTAGTCTTAAAGGACTCAGAAACTGACTGTTTTGGCTTTTGATTCAATCAAACACATGGAATTATGCACAACTCTGAAGGTACTGCTGAAGTGGGTTAATCGACTTAATTGCTACAATTAATCCATTTGATTTAGCCAACATACACCCCATGATGGAACTTTGATACTTTCCTGTCGAGGGCCAGAACAAAGGCCCAATTTAGAGACTGTCAAGTTACCTGCCTTACTAATGAAATTCTTTCGTGGATGATAATTTAATTGTTTGTGGAGTGATTTCAAACTTTTTATCTTTGACTTTAATTTATTCATTCTTCACAATTGAGACTGTTATTGTTGGGACAAAATTTCACCTATGAAAGTTTGATTGTTTTACTTTGAATAACATCATATGACTGAAGAACGTCACCAAACGGATCAAACAGTTTAAAATCTCATGTAAGATTTTACCGTCTCCAAGGCCCCAAGCTGGTTTTTCCTTCTGCTAGCAACGTCCACCAATCCTCCACAGTTCAAAAATACAGCACCCTGAGTTTGTGCTGTTAATACTTGATAGGATCAACCTATAACTAAAACCTATCAGTTGAAAACGGGAATGAAATTCAGGGTTTTGCCAGCCAACAAATTTTGTACATAACAAACCAAGGACGAAAGAAAGTTCGCAAAACTCTATGTATTCGGATCCTTAGATTTCTTAAAGATACCTACATGAATAAAAAGGACTGAGACTTTTCGATATTATCCTTAAATTTCTTAATCATGGAAACATGAATTGCATGTGATCGATGCAGATAGATGTTGGCCTTCTGCAGGAGTTGGCTGTGAGATATTAGTTGTCAAAGAACTCGAACCTCAGAAACTTAACCACTGATTCAAGAAGCCCTTTGGTGATTATGGATCCCCTCATAAGTTGTAATCACATAACTTGGATCCTCTTTGTCTCTTTCAACTCTTTTCTTGACGGGGCATCCTTCAACAGAACATTTATAGTAGTTCCTGTTAATCAATTAATAAGCAATGAAAATTAACGTCCAAGAGTTCAAGTATATCAGCCTTTGAAGCAAATGATTACAGGCTGCAATGATCAATTGTATCAACTAATATAATGAAAACCCTCAGTCAAAAGATTAAAATCACTCAAGTATTGGATAAATACCTTGGATTTGGGCTGTTTTTCACCATCTTTTTCCCATATTTCCTCCATCTGTACCCATCATCCAGTATCTCAACCTCAGACTTGGTCCTGAATGCAAATCTTTCTTTGAATTCTCTCCTCTCCCTGGCGGTTTCACTTTCTCCTGTTAACACAAGTAACAACATAGGAGGATGACTCTCAGTGGCCACAGTCTAGTATAGGACCTTAAGATGTAATTAAGGACTTTTCTTACTGTTACCAGCTGGTCCTTGAAGGAGGCTGCTAGTGCCAGCAGAATCATTAACTTCATTGGCTTGATTAACAGGATTCTCAATTGGCCCTGAGATGATAGCTTCAGGATAATCCTCCAGCCAACCGTCAAAAGTGAAGTACTCGTCAGGGAGCTCAAAATTGGATTGATCGGCATGGTCACTTTCTGGTGAGTCTGGTGGTCTAAAATTGTTATTAGACATCTAGATATTGGAACTGAAGGCCTAACACCGTTCCGATCATGGTATACGTATATTATATTCTGCTTAATCAGCTAGGAGGCTTCGCCATGAGCTTCCTGTGACATTGCAGGAAGCTTCAACGTTAATGCTGAATGCCTAAGTATTGAGATCTTGGGTCCCAGGTAAATACCATTTAGAGGTCAAAAGGAAGTGGGGCTTCCCCAAGGATGACTTGAGAGGAAGACTTCCTGCGTTGTTTTTGTGAAGCCTTTCAGTCTCGTGCTTAGACCAATCCTTTCACAGCGTTGTGAGAGAAGACAAGTCAAAAGTGATTGTGACTTGAAGCATGATAAGATTATTTCTGGTCTTTACATTTAGCTTGCTCCTATCGCCCACCCAAACCATCAGGATCAGCTGGATTTCGCAGTATCTTCAACGGTGTAAGCCATAAATACCTGAAGTTGATTCGCTATCAAAAGAGAACTAAAGTCTGAAAGATTCTTGGCAGACTGCATGCCTAACTGTACTGAACTCCAATTGCAGACAAATCCATCTTCATCATTATGGCAGACTAGCCGCCTAGAGTTCTTCACCTTATAATAGACTCCTTGACCACCTCCGGCCCCGAAGTTCACATGAAACTTCCGCAGTCACTGTAATTTTTTCCTCACTTTCCCTGGGTTCTGACCACCTGATTGGCTTCACTTCTTATAGTATTTTATTATTTCAGCTTCAGCTGTCTCAAAACCAATTTTATATCTTTGACATATATTTGCCAAGTGTCAAATCATGCTACAATAATCCATTCTTTTTCAAAGATATATCTCGTTCCTGGAAGCCAGACTGCGGAATCTGGATATACGTAAAGATGATGAAATGGATCAGATCAATTAAATAAAACCATCGATCATATATGACAAGAACCTTACCCAAGTCTTTGTCGGATTTGACACCGTTATTTATGAAATTTGTTGCCATGGAATTGGATTATTCATACTTTGCTTTCATTCTTCACTAATTTCCCTGTTTGATAAGTTGAATCATGCAACATCATACCAAAACAAGTTTTGTTATCAAACAAAAAGAATAAATGGAGACAACATTTTTTTCTTTAAATATATATATATATGTACTATAAATTATCAAATATATAATAATGAAGTTTTTAATTTTATAAGCTTATCAAATATATAAATAGCATTAAGACAATGACACATATTTTAAAAAATAAAAAAAACGATGATGCATATATTTAAAAGGGAAAAAAAATTAATTTTAAAAAAAATGTATTATCATTTTAATTTTATTTATAAAATTAAAAATTTTCATTATCAGTGTATTAAATAATATATATTTTTATATATTCTTGATATGAAAATAGAAGGATAAATTAACACTTTTGGTTTTGTGTTAATCGATTGAGCTTGATTTAAGTTCGAGGTTTTAAAGTAAATCTAAAAAACCTGAAAGTTGAAATTTTAATACTAAAAGAATTTTATTATTTAATAGTTAGTATTAGATACATACATGAAATAAATTAAAAAATAAAATTATTATTTATATAATAAAATAATTATATTTTGGGCCTGTCTTGGGCTTGAAACGTACTTTCTTAGGCCCAAGCTGAGAAAGGGGCTCGTGACGTGTACAGACGTAGCCCCAAATCACAAAACGGTGCGTTTCTAAATTAGGTTTCTCTGCTTCGTTTCTCCCACTCTCTTGCCGACAATGGCCTGTTTCATGGCGAATCCACCGTCGGGGGCCGCCGAGAAACCGAAGAAGCCTCGACTGAGCAACGCCGAGAGGTCGGCTTTTTCTCCGGGAGAGAGGCGGCGAAGGTGCTACAGTCCGTTCTCCAAGGAGACTCTCGTCGACGAGCCGTGGGCACCATAAAGTCCCTCCTTTATAGCCCTTCAATTAAGAACAAGAAGGCTACTTTCGCTCTCGTTTGCCAGACCCTCAAATGTAAGTTAAGTTTGTTCTTCTCTTTATTTCTATCAATGCCTTCTATTCGATATTAAGAGCAGAATCACTTGAAGCTTTAAAACATTTCAGCTAATTCTTTTTTTCTCGTTTATTTTTTTTATTTTGGGGTTTGATTTGTTTTCAGATCCTTCTATTATTATGAGTTCGAGGCTGCTAACATATTTAATAGTAGATGGAAGGTAAAAAATTTATGAGCTTTAAGGAGAACAAAGGAAATAATATATATATATATATATATTTACTTAGTAAAGTGTTTGATAATGGTGATTATTGTTGTGATGTTGCAGAATCAAGAGGAATTGGTTTGTATAATCACATATGATATTCTTTTTGGTCAGGTAATATTTTTGTATCTTTTTATTAGCTTCACATTTCCTTATTTTACATTTCTGTAGCCATTTTGACTGTATTTGAGACAATGCTTGAAAGCAGGAGTTATAGTCTCTTAAGCAAAATATAGTCAGCGATAACTAAGTCATCAATGACGCTTATGTTCACGTTCAAAGAATCTTCTGCCTTATAAGAAAAAACTTTTATTTCAAAGTTTTATAAGTGAATATGGTATTGGTTGCCTGTTTCTTCTGAATTCCTGAGTTTCTCAGACTGTCTCACCGAGTTAATGTGAGGAAGTGAGGTATGCTGAGGAGCTGTAGCAATATTTTATGTAATGGTTTGGCAGTTATTTGCTAAAGGGTTTATTCTTTCATGTGTTATTTCTGCTGATGTTCTGTATCTTTGTTGTTGCATATGTGTGGTAATCTTGTGGTGTGAATTCTAATTTCTAGGAAATTTCATTTATTGGTGATGCGTAGAAATTTCTAGTACAGCCCTGAAGTTTCTCTTCGGTCTGCTTTAGCTCAGCTTTTAGTGAGGAAAAAGGTGAAGCGCATTGAAGACTTGACAGATCATTATCAAACTCCTAGTATGTGTTAAGTAAGATGTTTTCCTTTACATCCAAGTGCATCATTCTGTTGCTTGCTAAAAAGTCCTTGATGTATGGTTTAAATGTCTACAGCAGATGTTTCAAAGCCCCGCTATGTTCGAGTAAACACACTTAAATTGGATGTTGATTCTGCCTTAATTGAATTAGGGAAAAAATGCATGGTACTTTCTGAAACCTATGCTAAAGCTAAACCTTAGTGGGGTATAGTGAATTATTTTGAATGTTTTCATGGTAATATGGAGTAACATGAGTGAAGTAAATGCTACATGCCATCAACCCGAGTTACACTCCAAACAACTGTGAATACTTTTCTCATTGCTGCTTGTTTGCTTATCATTTTTTTGGTGTTTCTACTGTATCTTTAGTAAAGTGTTTGTATTTTCCTTTGTTGCAACCTCTTCTTATTCTTTCCTACGTTTTTACTTACATTGCTGATATCTCAAGTCTGTATCTACTTTTGAGGCCAGTTTTTTATCTGTTTTATTTGTTAAAATCTTTCATTTTTGTTAATAGGTGCAGAAAGATGACCTGGTTCCTGGCTTGTTATAACTCCCGCAAAATTGTGATCTTCATGATCATCCTTTGGTCATGATTGGAAGTGTGTTTATGCAAGTAAGTCCTATAATATCCTTGTTGGCATTAGCTGCTTTCCGGCATCGGAGTTAAATCCTTTCTGCATTACTACCTTGTAGCTGAGAATTTGCTCCGGAATGAGCCAGTTGAGGGCAAAAAAGGCTTTTTCATTGCTCTGTTTATCAGGAAAGATAGAACCACAATCCAACCATCGTTGAAGCCTGATAGAGCCACTACTGATTCTTCCAATCCTCGTCCTCATGAGCGTACTAAAAGAAAGAGACGTCTGAACAAGAAAAAGGGAAGAACTACAATGCCAACTTTATTTGGTGGAAGTTTTAAAATGTGGTTATATTGTAAACCAAGTTTGATAGGAGTGAGCAATTGTTTGGGTCGCCCATGGACCATCCTTGATTGATGGTTTTAAATCGGTTTTAGGGTAATCATTATTAAACTTGATTACTGGGTTCTTGGTTCATGGTTCAAATTTTGGGACCGATTCTGTTAGAGTGATCCATGAACTAGTAAGATGGGATCGCAAGATTAAAAATGTTATTATATATATATATATATATATATATGCCATTTTATGTTGGAGAAAAGCCAATAAAAAAAAAGGAGTAATTAATAACAACAGCGGTCCATGATTTCATCATAACAATTTAACAGGAAAGGAAACTACAATATCAAACCCAAAACACATTCAGAAAGAGAGCACGTCAAACACTGATTGTTTTAAACTCTTAAGCAATCTTGACCTCGATGGTCTTAGGTTTCTTAGGCTCAGGTGGTGGCAGTTTCTCCACAGTTACAGTCAAAACCCCATCATGACACACTGCAGAAATAGCATCGGTATTAGCAATCTCAGGTAGTACAAACTTCCTCATAAACTTGCCGACCCGCCTCTCCATTCTCACGTACTTGGCTCCTTCTTTCTCTTCCTCTCTATTCCTTTCTCCGCTTATCAGCAGCACATTGTCGTCTTCGACTTGCACCTTGATGTCCCCCGATTTCAGCCCCGGCATGTCGACGATGTACACATAAGACTTGGGGTACTCTTTAATGTCCGCTGGTGTTGCTGCCATAGCCTTGGCGTCACGCACATAGGCCCTTGATGGTGTGTTGGGGGTCTTTTCCGCATCCTCGTGGAGGTCTATTATGTTTTGGACGGTGTCCAAGAGTGGAGAGACGAAACCTCTGAAATCCATATCTTTGAAATCCATCTCTTTTTTTTTGCTGCAGGAGAGATTTTGTTTTGGCTTTCGGATGCAATATACTCTGTTTCTTGAATAGTGTGTAGACGGTTTTGGGCATTTATAAGGTGGGTTAAGAAGTTTCTGGAGGAAAATGTCAGGAGTTTTCCAGAAGTTTGTATCACATTCTTTCCCCAATGGTTTCCACTTTCCAGATTGTTGTGGAAGGTCTAGAATTCTTACATTATTTTGACTTTTCTTAGAGCGATTCATCGGTTTAATTTTTTGGCCAAAGATTCGTTGTTAGATACCCGAAATAAAAGCGACTTTGACTAGTGCCTATTGCCTTTTCAAAAAAGGTTGTTCTTCTTTGCATACGAATATTCTACCAATTTTATTGGAGCTTTTAATTTAGTGATAAAAGGTGTTTGAATAAATATCAAAAATTAATTTTGAATCAATTTTTTTTTATTTTTTACCTATGTTAAGATTTTATCTTTTTAATATAATAATAAAAAACTTTATTTTTTTGATATAACAAAAAAAAAGGAATATCCTATGAATTCAAGGGAATTGGCTTATTCTTCTTCTTTTTTTTAATCTAAAAAGCATGGCTAAGGAGTTGGGTTTCAAGAACATTTTTAGTGCACAGAATGATTAAATCATATTTTTTTCATATACTTTAGCAAACATTACTGTTCACATAGACACGCAGGATTAAAAGAACAGAACCAGTCCACTCCTCTAAAGCTCTCTACATCAGTCAGTGACATAAATATATAAAAAACCAACAAACTCACAAGCATACTCTTAGAAGCTCTCCAAGCAAAGCCTGCAGTCTCAAGCTGCTCTTATTTGAGCCTCAACTACGCTGTAGGAGCATAGTCACAAACCTCTCAACTCACTTGCACTTTACCGTCTTGGGTTTCTTGGGTTCTGGCTTCTTCTCCACATTCACGGTCAAGACTCCGTCTTGATATGAAGACGATCTCTTTTCAATATCAGCATTTTCTGGGAGCTGAAACTTGTTCAGAAACTTGCCCGGCCTCCTCTGCATCTTTGTGTACTTCACGCCCTGATCCTTCTCTTCGTCCCTCTTCCTCTCTCCACTCACCACCAGCAAGTTGCCCCCTTCAACCTGGACTTTCACCTGGTCTCTTTTGAGCCCTGGCATGTCAATCACAACCCACGTTTGCGTTGGGCCAGTCTTTCACGTCTGCTGGTGTCGCTGCCATTGCTTTTGCGTCCCGGATGTAGGTCCGAGAGGGATGAGGCTGAGACTTGTTGGCCTCATCAAAGAAGTCCAGGAGCTCATGGAGGGTGTCAATGATGGAAGGATCAAATCCCATGAGTCTTAAATCCATTTTCTCTCTGCTGGATTTCCTTTTCTTTCTTGCAAGTAGAAAAGGAGATGTAAGATACAATGTAGTAGCTTCTTCCTTCGCTGTGGAAAGAGAATGCTGCCTTGGGTGAGCTTTTATAGTGAGTTCGATTCGTGAAGCGTGAAGCCTGAAGCACTAGGTGCATGCAGTCTTTATGCCTGATACGTGGTGGGCGACTGGGATGTTTAAGATCGACGCGGAGGTCTCTAGGGCACGTGGCAACTGTGGTGTTCTCTTTAGGAACCAGGGCAATCAACCTAAGCTCCAGTTCAATGTTCAACTATTAGATTGCAATGAGCACATTGTCATTCTCAGCTTTATTCCTGCTATGAATGATTGCAGAGTAGGAGATCGGATTTAGATATAAGCCAAAGATTTTAAAGAAGAAATTAGTTGTCTAGACAAAAGAGAAAACACAGCAGCAAAACCAGCAACTGATCATACTGAGCAAAAAAGAATAGTAGCGTAACACTTAGTGGCCCCATGTTTCAGGCCTTTGTAGATCCAACTAAGACAATTGTTTCCCATTTTTATTTTGATGTTTTCTTTTTAATCTAATAATAATCTTGTTTTTAATCTAGTCTAGGTTTTAAAAATAAATAAATACTAGTACTATAATTTATAATACTTTTCTCTAAGCTCTCATGACCGACCATACCATCTGATTTCGTGATGTTTTAATCAGAGGATCTCCTCTTCATGGTTGATTCTCCACTTAGCTATTGCTTCTCCAACCCAACTAGGGTTCATACTCTCACCTCGTATTTTACTTTGTATCTATTTATATCTGAATAATATATATTTTGCCAAAAAAAATCTGTCTAATGATACCACTAGTTAATCTATATTTAATTTGCCATTTAGATTTTAGAACATACAGATTAAACTCTTAACATTATCTTAATATGCTTTAATCTGAAAGATATCATATCAAGGTTTAATTTTGCAAATCAATATCAAATACCAACATAAACTCATAGTCTTAAGCAGTTAAGCCTATGGTTTAAGTTGATGCCTAATATGTCATATAACTTCTACCAGCTCGGGCAAAAATATAGTTTTAACAGTAATTTCTTGATAGCAAGTGGATATCATTCTGGAATTGGGAATTGTTGTAGGGCAAATCATTTGTACTTAACGAGCTAAGCATGGGAAACATAGGGTAAGAAAAGAAAAAGAACAGACGGAAGAAGGGAAAGAAGATCAGGAAACAATGGCTCTAAGAGAAGAATAAACTTCAACCTTTATTTCATGTATTCATGATTTTCAAAATCCACACAACCAAAGCCAAACTCAAAGAAACACACATACAGTTCTCTTTAACATTTTCAGCAAGTCAAACATGACTCTCACTCAACCACATGCAACTTTGACCTTAATGGTCTTAGGCTTTTTAGGTTCAGGTGGAGGCAGTTTCTCCACAGTCACTCGCAAAACCCCATCCTGACAAACTGCAGATATCTTCTCCATATTCGCATTATCAGGCAATGCGAACTTCCTCATGAACTTGCCAACCCTCCTTTCCATCCTCACGTACTTGACCCCTTCTTTCTCATCTTTTTCTTTCTCACGCTTTCGCTCCCCGCTCACCACTAGAACGTTCTCATTTTCAACCTGGACCTTGATCTCACTCGGATTGATGCCAGGCATGTTGACAATGAATGTGTAGGCTGTTGGGAATTCTATCACGTCCGCTGGGGTGGCAGCCATGGCCTTTGCATCACGAACGTAAGCTCGAGATGGGTTGTTTCGGGACTTCTCGTGCTCCTCTGGGGTGTCAAGCATGTCTTCCAGGATTGTTAAGAGTGGAACATCTAAGCGAAAGTTCCTCAAATCCATGATTCAAGCGCTAGAATAGAAACAGAAAACAAAAGGAGAACGGATGTAAGATGCTTTGATATGTAATGCAATAAGTTTTAAGTTGATTCATGAGTGATTCGGAATGTAAGGAGTTCAGTCGTATATAAAGGAGATAAGCAACAGAGGCGAGAGTTCTAGAGAATAATCAGTGCACGGGGAAAAGTTGGGTAATGTGGCTGCGTACCGTTCTGTCTAGAATTCTGAAGAAGACAAATGAAGGTTCTATAATTTTCTCTTTCTTTTTTTAATCTATTTGGTTCCAGTCCAGGGCCTGTTTTACCAGGCTTGATTCCAAGCCCACTTCTCTGAACCAAATTTGGATGATTATTTCATTTGTAGCTGGGCTTTGAAAATACCCATGGTCATGTTAGGCCGAGCTTGCCCAGACTAAGGTCCATCCCTTCCCTTAATTATCGAACTCAGGAAGCGAAATTCCTTGGCAGAATCTTTCCAATTTTAGCTATCCGAAATGTGGCAAGAGTTGTTGCAGTTGACTTGAATAAGGAGTTTCATCTGCCAAACAATGATCAAAAAAGGAAGTCTCTCCTTGCTCTGGTGCTTAGAATAGCTTGGTGTGCTGTTGTTTAATCCACCCGAAGAGAAAGGAAAAACGGACTCAATGGTAAGATGCCTGACACTACTTCAGAATTCAGATATTTGGAGAGTATTGCTGCCATTTTGCATGCCAGTTTGGTCTGTTAGTTTTTGTTTTTGCCTTGGATTTCCTGCTCTCTTAGATCCATTCTTAGTTCTGAGTCTGACCCGCTCAATATCTGTGAAAACTTTCTATTTTTATTCATACTTCGGAGAATGAACAAGCAAAAGCGAGCTGCCACGCAAGCCAGCAATGAATGACAAGCTATATACAACCATTTACAAAAAGCTTGGCCCAAAATGAAAAACAAGCAGCCCAATCCATGGGCGTTAAGTGTTTGCAGCCGTGCTGTTTTCATGTCGATGAAAGGACAGTTTAGTGATGCGGACGATGGAAAGATGACCCACGGTTTAAGTTGCAAATCAGAGGGTGGCACAGTGTCTAGCCGCCTGAACCTAGTGAACCTTAAAGCAGGCTAATATCTAGTCTAGAAAACATATGCTCACGAAGTAATAACTAGCACGTGTCTACTTTCTCTCGATCCGCAAAACCCTTGTTAAAATCCATATCCTTGTCCTGTTTACTCCCTACCGTTAAAGCTCTCTTTTCACCATCGCCGGCTTCATTCTTTCCATTTCCTTCTTCTAAACACAATCGATTTCGCTTTCTGTGAAACCCCCGTACCCACCTTTTTCCCCTTCTTTTAGATCCTTTTGCGTTGGAGATCTGTGCTCTCTCTTTCTCTCCCCCAGTTACCTATTGACAAAAGATGAAGCCTTGAAGATGTTGTCCAAGACTTGGTTTTTTCTGGTAAGGATCAAAAATAAAATTTGGGCTTTTTGTAGTGAGTAAATGCTCGACTTATTTCTGCTGATCCATGTTCGCTCTCAAATTTGGCTGCGCAAAAGAAAAAAAAACCAACAAAACCTTTTTTTTGTACATAATAGTAAAAGTTACTATTTTTCCTTTCCTTTTCTGCATTGAGTTCCTAACTTTGTAGTTTTAATTGTATAGAAAACCCAAGTAGCTGGAGTTATATTTTACTTGAGCTGGGTTGGTTTATGTGGAATTTTGAATAGGATTTGAGGTGGGTTCTGATTAATTTTGGTGAAAGGATAAAAGAACAGATTTTAGTTAGTTGAACTTAACAGTTTACAAAAGTGGCGAAAATGAGTTTAAGTGCAGCCGAGGATGATTCCAGGTCAGAGATTCATATACCAGCAGATATAGATTGGCATATGCTTGATAAATCCAAGTTCTTTTTTCTTGGTGCCGGTTTATTTTCAGGTGTATCAGCTGCTCTTTACCCTATTGTAGTCTTGAAAACTAGGCAACAAGTTTCATCTACTCAAATTTCTTGCTTTAAAATGTCTTTTTCTATTATGAGATACGAAGGATTGAGAGGATTTTATAGGGGTTTTGGTACCTCTTTGATGGGGACAATCCCAGCTCGAGCACTTTACATGGGAGCCCTTGAGGTCACCAAGAGCAGTGTTGGCACTGCAACTGTTAGTTTAGGATTTTCAGATACTACAGCAACTGCTATAGCTAATGCTGCTGCTGGGTTGAGTTCGGCTATGGCTGCACAACTTGTTTGGACCCCCATTGATGTTGTGAGCCAAAGACTTATGGTTCAAGGTTACAACAATAGTAGCGGTAGCAAAGATGTAATTCCAAATGTGAATTCTTGTAGATATAGGAATGGTCTCGATGCGTTTAGGAAGATTCTGTATGCAGATGGTCCTAAAGGATTGTATAGGGGATTTGGGATCTCAATATTGACATATGCACCATCAAATGCTGTTTGGTGGGCATCTTACTCTGTTGCAAACAAGCTCATTTGGGGTGGTTTTGGTTGCTCTGTGCGTAGAAAAGATAAGAGTGGTGTGATTGCTGGATCTGGTTTTAGGCCTGATTCAAAGGCCTTGGTGGCTGTCCAAGCGTTAAGTGCAGCCATGGCTAGTGGCGTTTCAGCTTTAATCACTATGCCGCTTGACACCATAAAGACCAGATTACAGGTTCTGGATAGAGAAGAGAATGGGATAAGAAAACCTTCGACAATTTTGCAGACAGTGCGGAATTTGGTTAAAGAAGGTGGATTGGCCGCTTGTTACAGGGGACTGGGACCAAGATGGGCTTCAATGTCTGTGTCTGCAACAACCATGATCACTACCTATGAGTTCTTGAAACGGTTATCAACTAAGAGCCAAGAAAGCTTGACATCATGATCACCTGCATATTAATGTAAATCGTGTGTCTAGCGCTTTTTCTTTCTTTTTCATATGGGTCACTCTGTAACAGTGTATCTTTCGGTTCTCAATCTATTATATTTCAATCACTTACCGCTCCAAAGTTTGGTTTGATTTTTTTCTTCTAAATATGCATATTCTTTGAATGAATGCTGGTGCTTTCTATTTAATGAATAACTTACCTATGAATGTGTGTTCAGTCATCTCTTATCATTGAAAGATGAGTGACTTTTCTTGCTTAAGCAAAGATATTTTTGGACGGAATAGAGATTTAATCTTATCCATACCTAAGGGAATTTGATTTTTCATTTGAACGAGGATGAAAATGAGTATAATATTATGAGTACAAAAATAGAGATGAAGATAATTTTAAACTTTTATTAAATAAGGAGATGAAAATGGAAAATGTAGCATTAGTTTTGTATTTGTATCTTATACATGTATATATTTAGTAAATAAATTTTTATTAAATAATATAAATTATTATTTTAAATTAATTAAATTTTATAAATTTTATTAAAAATATATATTAATATATATTTATAAAAAAATTACTTAAATATACAAGATAAAAATTAAAAAAATAAATTTTGGTTTTTATTTTGTTAAAAGATTATAAGAATGAGAATTATTTATTTTCATTTTATATCTATAGAAATGAAGATGAGATAAATTTTAAATATTTATTAGATATAAATATGTAAATAAATATAATATAAAAATTCGAAAACGATGATAGAAAATGATTACTTTTTTCATGTCCTACCTATTGAGGACGGAAGTGTTTTATTGCTTTACAAATCATATTAAATATTATTGTTTTCAATATGATATGATCTCATTGTGGCGTTTAAGGGATTATTAGTTCATGTAAAACGTTCCTGTCTCTGTCTTCTTGCCTGTTAGCCTTGTTGTTCTATTTCCATTTGCCAAAGTAGACATAGCTGGGCTTCGACTAAAAAAAAAAAGAATGTCAGTGTCATAGATATGAATAATGGATAAAACAAACTCTCCCCAACACTTTTCTACTCCATGTTTCATTGTATCTCATGTAGCTGAACTTTTTCCCTCTACATTTTAAACCATTTTCTCATTTATCCAGCCAAACTGTCTTACCTCTTTCATGAATTATGACCGGTTAGTTTAGTCTTTTTTTTTTTTTTTGTAAGAAACCGAAACTAGATAAAGATCATAAAATAATATGACACAAAATTTTTCTTGCTCCATCGTCGACAAGCAAATTCAAAATAAAATTAAAAAATATTAAAATAATATAAAAGAATTCTCACAACATTCATACATGGCAAAGCGATCACTATCAAAATGAGTCAAAGCATCAGCACAAATGTTTCCCTTCTTGAAGGTATGCATGACTTTGCAGTAACTTTCTGCAGTCATCAATTAAATGTTGCAAACATAGGTTAGGAGTGAATTAATTTTTAATCAAAAAAATGACAGCAATAGCATCAATTTTCACATCGAAATTAGAGATATTAAGCTTGTTTAGCTAGCATTAACCCATCCTTAAGAGCCCATAATTCAATTAATATATTTGTTCCATATCCTATACAGCTCGTAGAGCCAACCACCCATTTCCTTGTATGGTCTTTAATGATGGTGCCAGCCCCTGCTCTTCCTAGATTTCCTATAGTTTAGTCTTACTATAAGATAGTATAACACAGTATATGAATTAGTTGGAAAAAGTTTTACCTCCTTCGCTTATCCTAAGAATGCATTAAAAGTAATTACAATTGTCGATCTATCATGTCTAAAAGGTTTTTAATGAAATTGTGTTAACTTTAACAATAATGTGATAAAATACAGGTACTAATATCACAAGTTTCGATCTTAAACCTGAATCGACAATAAATAAGGTTCTATTTGTTGAGAGCAAAACAAAAGCAAAAATCATGAAAGGAAAAAAAGAAAAGGATAAAAGTAAGAAGTAGCTTTTATATTTGTATTCTAATACTTAAATTAGAGATCAATATAATAGATGTCAAAATAAGATAAAAATAAAAATGAAATAATAGTAATTAGATTTCTTTATTTATAAACATAAAATAAAAAATTTTATAAAATAAAATAATGATATAATTGAATTAACATGATATTATATATATTAAATTTAAAATTTAAAATATTTTTAATTATTTATTATAATTTCTAATAAATAGAATGATCAAAAAATCTTTTAATTTGAAAAATATCCCTCACACAATTTTTGGATGACATCATTAAAGTCAGAGGAGGGGTGGGTAGATACAGGGAACATTGCAAAAGTTCAATTCCACCTTAAGAAACCTTAAAGAGACATAAAGATTGAGTTCGACTCTAACCTTTCTCCTTTTTTCTTTTATTATAGGGCTCCATCCCTTTGAAATAAAAAAAAAAAAAAATTTCCGCCTCAATTCTCAGGCACAACATTTATTTTTAAAGCATAGACATAGTACATCACTATTCACCTACATGGGGAAAAAATCTACAGCTCAACCCAAAAATTCCCATCTGCATCGATAGATGTGAAAAAAACTGAAGAAGCAGTAGTTGGCGGCAACAGAAAGAAAATTGATTAGCACGAGGCAGGCACCTTTGGTTAAGGGAGATGTATCTCCTTTTTTTTTTTTCTTAATTTGGGAGTCAGAGTCGAGGAATTGAGGGATGGAAAACCATGGGCTGTAATGAAAACCCATATGCCAATTGGATTTACTATGGATCATCCAACATTTGCCATTATTTAGAATCTGTATGGAGCAGGCAATCAGAAACAACGGGCCATCAGTATACTTTCGGGTCTGATTTTTATCAACAACAGGCACACTTGTTCGACAGACCAAATAATACGGCTGAGATTTGAAGCCAATTTGAGGACCACTTCTTCTAAGTTGGTGTTCGTAAAAGAGTAAAAACTCAACAAAATGCCAAAGGAATTGGCAAATTGGGGCGTTTATGGGCAGCAGTTTAGTGTCATTTTGGCTAATAACTCATTCTATAGTTTTAGTTATTCCATTTGAGAGCTACAGGTTTCAGAAACTGGATGATGGCATGCAAATGAAACTAAGTTTCAGCCGTTACATCCTCAAAAAACCTGTCATTGGATTCACTTTTGTCATGCTTTTTTTATTTCGGAGTTGCAGTTACAATTCACAAACTAATAGTACTTCTTTTCTTTTGTATTTTTCTTTTTGAGAGACAAAGGAGTTACGATGTCCAATATTGACAAGCAAAAGCCTCAGACATGCAAGTCATGTGCCTTTGATGGTGGATAAGTCTTCTGTATAAATTCTTGCATTCTCCTTGGTATGGTGATTACACTTAGAAAATAACGTGGCTCTAAGGGTTGTGTCATGTCATGTCAACACCATTAGGCCGCAGATCCATCGCTTTGCAGGCCGTGCCAGGCAAATATTATTTTACTTACCTTCTTAAGCCCCTCCTATTTTTTCTTCTTTCATCTTTTTCTTTGTAGAAGTACGACAAAGCATTACCTTCTTGAGCTTAGAACACAAAAGAAAACGAAATGCTTATATATCAAGACAAGTTTCAAACATAAAACAAGTCCTCCTTCCAATGGCAGGGAGAATTATTCTTAACCTGATTATAAATATCCTATCTTATAATTAAATTAAACAGGAATTTGGCAATCTACGCATAAAAGACAGACACGACAGATTCCTGGATTAGAGGACACATTGACTAAGAACAAATTTGAGTACATGACCTAATAGAGAGTTAGCAGTCCATGATGCCAGAATTTATACAAGAGCCACTGACCAACCATCATCATCAAGGCCGTGCTCTCGTTGCTGCAAGATGGGCATTTGTACCGCTTAATATGCTCTGCCCTTGCTGGTGTAATTTAACGCACTTTCCATGGAACCATTTCTTACATATATCACAGCAAATCCAGAATTCATCAGCTGCATTATTCTTTCCACAAGCCCCAAATAATGTCTCTCCATGTTCCTCATCGTCTTCCTCTTCCATACCATCATCATCCTCATCCTTTGATGGCATTGCCTTTGAATATTTGGGCTGAGATTCAGAACCTCGCTACATTTTTTTCAAAGGGAAAAGAAAATCTAATTTATAAGATGCCCTTGAATATGTAAGGTTATTTCCCTCTTTTGGTTCTGCTATCAGCACAAGGAAAATGAACTTTGCCGATATATGAATGTAACAAGCCACAATGCTAACAAAAACTTATGTATAATAAATTTATAATATATATTTGATATTTTTAAATTAATAAATAATTAAAAAATTTTAAATTATTTAATATCAAGTAATATTTTTGTTAACAAGTTAAAATTTAATAAAGCTATTTTTATATCAAATAATTAAAATTTGAGAAATATTTTTATGCATATATGTTAATGCTATTTAACATTTAAAATCTAAAAGTTTTATTTAATAAATAGCGAATTTTTTTTAGAATAAATTAGTTTATTAAAGCTAAGAAATATTGAAATTATTATTGAAATTTGCTCTAAATTTATGTATTTATAATAATTTACTTTCATACACTTTCACTATCATATTTATTATAATTATTTTATTTCTCAAATGTATTACCACAACTAACAAATTTAATTACATTAACATAATTATTTATTAAAATTTGAAATAAATACTAAAATGAAGAAAAAAAATTTAGACATCATCATTTAGAAATTTCAATTTATAAAACAATAGACTTACAAAATAATGATTACTCATTTTAAATTTATAAAAGACTTAAATATATAAAAAAATTATAAAAAATCTATTTCCTTTTTTCATGTATAAGTGAAAATTTATCTTGAATATTTATGTAATCATGATAAGTCACAAAAAACAAGAAAGATTACTATGAAAGTACAACCATTAAAATATTTTTAAAATTTTACTTGAATAATTTTTTAACACAATAAAACAAATTAATTTTATAAAACATACAAAGTTTTATTAGAATTATATAGTAGATTAGGATGTATGGGAAGACGAATCCATTAGACTAATTGTTATTGTTTCTCTTCACATTATAATTTTATGATCACTTTCTCTACAAATAACAAAACTTGATTTATCTTGATTAAAATTGCTTGTAAAAGTTGACATGTT